CATAATGCTTAACTATAAGTTAAGAGCTTGGTCATGGACAAATGCTGTCATGATACAAAAAGTAATAATCAGATTTGGACCCTGCTAGGGTTAGGAAAGATTAATTTGGCCTGAGTGCCGTAGTCTGAGTCTATGGCATGATGTTCCCAGGAGAGCTGCCCTACAAGCCTCAATATTATCTATAACTGTGTCCATACAAAAATAACTAGTATTGAGATGTTGATAGAGTTATTGGACTAGGGAAAGGAGAAAAACACCTTAGGGGTATTTTGCCCTTGGGCAGTCAGGAAGGGTTTTGGAATAACCTAGGTGGTGTTCCCTTTGAACTTGGTGGGTCCTCAGAAAGGGCTTCCTTAGGTTGGTTTGGCAACCTGACTGGGGGAAGTGTCAGCCTGGAGAGATAAGGGAGTTGGAGAGAGGAGGGGGTGGATCGGAGTGAATGAAGAGTGGATTGGAATAAACTGCAACTAAGACCAACCAGCCTGGCTCTCATTTCTTCCTTCGTCTGTCCTTGGCCAACAGCCGTCCCAATCCAGGCAACACACAGTGACTCAAGAGCACCTAACAAGGGCGGTGAGATAGAGCTGTCCAGAGAGCCTGCGAACACACTACCTTCAACGTGCATAGATGTCACACTCCTCCTTTACTTCCTTGAATCTGTATTGTGGTTTTCTTGGTTTATTTATTTCTTTTTTTTAGCTTCCCAAGCTACCGAGGGTATCTCGCCTGCACAGCAAAACCTGGCAAGCTCCCTGTGACGTATTCAATATGCCAAACACAGTAACAAGTCTCAAAACGGAGACGTTACTGGGCCCGCTCGAGCAAATCGATGAACAGCTGGAGGACAGTGCTACCGGGCTGCAGCTTTTTGGGTCATACCTGCCGATGCTCAGTGATTACTCCTGGCTCTGCGCTCAGGAATTACTCCTAGAGGTGCGTGGGCGAACCATATGGGAAGCCAAGGATCAAACCCAAGTCAGCCACATACAAGGCAAACACCCTACTGGCTGGACTATTGCTCTAAGCACCCCAAACTCTTAAACCTTATGAGAAGTGGTCTATGTTTATATTTTTGAGGGGTACACTAAAATGATGTCTCCTCATTTTCTTCAACCGCAATTGTTTATTTGGGGATGGGGCGCGGGGGGGGGCTGGGAGGGCACTCCAGGAAGTTTTCAGGGGACCAAGTGGTACTGGGAATTGACCCTGGGGCCCTTTCATGCAAAACTTGTGTCCTATTCTGTTGAGTACTCTCCCAGGTCCGTATCCAGTTTTTATGGCTTTATGGCTGTAGGACCAGCCACCACCATGCTGAGACCACTCTCCGAACACATGAAGGTACTGGCAGAGGGACAAAGTCACGTGGGTTCCAGGGCCGAGATCTCCAAGCCTACTCGGATTGGGGCCGAGCATCCTCCACCCAGATCCTCCAAATTCCAGTAGGCGGGGGTCATACCCACCAACTGCCCCCAGCGCCGTGTAATCCCATCAATGGCCAAAATCCAGACACTATAAAACCCTGCTCCTGGAAGCCCATTGCTGCCTTAGTGGCTGTGCGACATCTCATTATCTGGGTGTTACTCTGGAGAACCTGGCAGGCTATCAAAAGTATCCTGCCCACACGGCAAAGTCTGGCAAACTCCCCGTGGCGTGCCCAATATGCCAAATACCAGTAACAATGATGGGTCTCATTCTCCTAAAGAGCCTTGAATATAATCTCAGGGCTAGGATGAAGGAGACGTTACTGGGGCCTGCTCGAGGCAATCGACGATTAACAGGATGATTTGTGATTTGTGATTGTGATGGCTGTAGGAACAATAATTTTGGGGGTTTTTGTTTGTTTTGGGGCCACACCTGGTGAAGCTCAGGGCTTTCTTCTAGCTTTGTGCTCAGGGATCACTGCTGCTGGGGCTTGGGGACCGTACGGGGATCAAACCTGGTTGAGTCTTATGCAAGGCAAGTGTCCTCCCCACTGTACTTTGCCCTAGCCAGAAAGCAAAGGTTTAAGCAAACAGATGGAGTTTTGCTGAAAACTTCCTCATCTCATTTCCCCCCTTTTCTCCCCATCTACAGCATTTTCCAGGTCCCCCCAGTTACCCCGCTGCTTCCTCTCTGGCACCTCCCATGGATAAGACAGACCAACTTGGAGGTGTAGTGTTGAAAGCAGAGTGGTCAGCTGGGACCCAGCCTTGGAGCCACGGCACTCCAGTTTGCAGTTCCTCTGCTGGTTTCCCAGGCAGGACTCCACATTGCCCTGGATCCAGCACTGGCATCGTTCTTTCCCGAAGCCCAGAGCATGCCTCTGCTCATTCTGCTCCAGCCACTCCCCTACCCCGTCTGACAGCACACCAGTCCTGGGGATCCAGGGAACTGTTCCGAGAGGAGACTCATTGCCAGAGTTTGCCAGAAACTCTGCCATTGGAATGGAACTGTCCCCTCTCCTCTCCTGAGCCCCTCTCCATGACCAGAGAAGTGACCATGGCAACCCTACAGCACAGGAGAAGTCTTCCGGTGCTTCTGATGGCCATCTTCTCAATCCCTAGTTCAGGACTTGAGACTCTGGGTTGTGGATTTATGCAGATATATGTCTCTCTTGCCCTTTGCTTTATTTATTTATTGCTTTCTGGGTCAAACCTGGCCATGCACAGGGGTTATTCCTGGCTCTGCACTCAGGAATTACTCCTGGCGGTGCTCAGACCATATGGGATGCTGGGAATCGAACGCAGGTCGGCTGCCTGCAAGGCAAATGCCCTACCTGCTCCAGCCCCTGCTTTAAATGTACATATTTGTGTTGAAGAAATTCTTTCTTGATTAAAAAAAATGTTTTTTTAGGGGCAGGAGCTATAGAATAGCGGGTAGGGCGTTTGTTTTGCACATGGCCAACTGAGTTCAATCCTAGGCATCCCATATGGTCCCCTTTGACCTGCCAAGAGTGATCCCTGAGCACAGCTGACCCCCAAAATGAACATAAGCACTCTGCTAGATTGTTCAATGGGCTGAGCACATGCCTTTTTCTAAGGTCGCCTGGGCTTGATCCTGGCACTGAATGGTCCTCTGAGCACTGGTTCTAGGAGTGGCCCTAAGCACCAAGCCAGCAGTAGCCCCTGAGCCCTGACAGTGGTGGCAATAAAAAAAAAAAGTGTCTTATGAACTCAGAGCAGCTAATGGGAATTGTTTGTGTATATCACCAACTTGGTTGTCTGGATGGGATGATATGAATCCTATGAAAGAAGAAATGAGATTCTCTATTGCTGACTTCCTGGGAAAGGTCATTGGAACAGTATTGGGCTCTGAACCGGGTTGTTCTGGTTTAGTTTTGGAGGACCACACGCAGTGCTGCTCTGGTTTGCCCTGGCAGTGACTGGGATCAAATCTGGGGCTGTGGCATGAAATTGTGTTGCAGCCCCTTTGAGCCACCTCCCTGCTTTTGTGATGTACTTGTGTGTTTTAAAGGAGGGACTTAAACTTACCATACAACTGTCTGCTTGGGGCCTACTTGCTTCTTTTTATTTTTTTAAATGTGTTATTATGGAGAACGATCAACGGGATCGTTGACGATCAACGGGAGGGCCTTTACCTTTTACCTTTACCTTATTATGGAGAACATCACAGTCACAGTCCTCCTGTTGTTCATCGATTTTCTCGATTTTCTCAAGCGGGCCCAGTAACGTCTCCATCGTGAGACTTATTGTTACTGTGTTTGGCATATCGAATACGCCACGGGTGGCTTGCCAAGCTTTGCCGTGTGGGCGAGATACTCTTGGTAGCTTGCCGGGCTCTCTAAGAGGGGTGGAGGACTCGAACCCGGGCTGGCTGGCAAACGCCCTACTGCTGTGCTATCGCTCCAGCCCTACTTGCTTCTTTTGGACCGTTTACTATTTTTTTTCCAGTAGCCATCAGATTTAAATGAATGCGAAAGACCTTAAATGGCTATGGAGAGGATGAAATGATTCCTCTCATTTTTCTTGAGTCTCATGAGGAGGTCCATGAGATACAAGCTAACATAAAAAGCATCTTCTTGCCAAAGAGTCTAGAGGTGAAGCTACTCGCCTTGCACTCGGCTGCTGCTGAGACAGTGGCTGAAAATCTATCCCAGAGTCCCAGGTGTGGCCCCTAAACCCACCTAACCGGAACCTTCCACTCTGACTCCTAAAGGTTCCCCAATTATTTCATGACTTCACCGTAGTTAGTGAATTGATCGGGAAGACGACGTTAGAAAAAGCTCACGGGCCGTTCATGTCTTCGCAGCTTTTCAAGCAGGTCAGGGCTGTGAGTTTTCCAATCTGGGGGGCGGACCTCAGAAAACCTGCCTCCTTGCCCAGGAGGAAACACGAAGTAGGCTCAGGATTTCTCTGCTTTTTCTCCCAGAAAAAGAAGTGGCGGGGCTGGAGCCATAGCACAGCGGGGAGGGCGTTTGCCTTGCACGCGGCCAACCTGGGTTCGATTCCCAGCTTCCCATAGGGTCCCCCGAGCACCACCAGGGGTAATTCCTGAGCGCAGAGCCAGGAGTGTAACCCCTGTGCATTGCAAGGTGTGACCCTAAAGGCAAAAAAAAAAAAAAAAAAAAGATGTGGAAGAGAGAGAAAGCAGGGAAATAGTCAAGAAAGAACATGGGGGGCTGGAGCCATAGCACAGCGGGGAGGGCGTTTGCCTTGCACGCGGCCGACCCGGGTTCGATTCCCAGCCTCCCATATGGTCCCCTGAGCACTGCCAAGGGTGATTCCTGAGCGCAGAGCCAGGAGTAGCCCCTGTGCATCGCCGGGTGTGACCCAAAAAGAAGAAGAAAAAAAGAAAAAAAAAGAAGTGGCTCGCTTGGCTGAGCTGTAACAGCCACAGGCCCAAAGACGACCGGAGCGGGCGAGCGAGGAGCCAGCTCGCTCCGTCCGGCCGGACTGCCGGACCCGGGAGGCGGGGCCAGCCCGGATCTACTTCCGGCCCCGGCGGCGGCGGCGGCTCGGAGAACGTCACTTCCGCTTCCGGCCCGTCGGGCCGCGCGTCACGTGGGTCCGGCGGTGCGGGGCGAGCGGCTGCGGTGCGAGGTCAGCGTCCCCGGGAGACGCCGGCGGTCAGCTCGCGGCGGGGTCGTGGGCGGCGGCGGGGGCGGGGGCGCGGCTGCGGGCCGCGGGACGGGGGCGGGGGACCCCCGGCCGCCGGCCGTCCCCGGGCTGGGCGCTGCGGCCCGACGCGGGCGGCCCCCCGCGTGCTCGGTCCTCCGTGCTCGGTCCTCCGCAGCTGACCCCCCGGTCCGGCGCCCCCAGGTCCCGGCCCGGTCATGGCGAAGCACCTGAAGTTCATTGCCCGAACCGTGATGGTGCAGGAGGGGAACGTGGAGGGCGCGTACCGGACCCTGAACAGGTGACGGGGGGCGCGGGGGGCGCGTCCCCCTCCCCGGGGCCTCGATGGCCCCAAGCTGCGGAGGGTCCGCAGGCCACCGAGAGGTCGCGCCGAGCAGGGACAGGAGCGGCGGGACCCCCTCGAAACCGCGATCGGGGTGCTTGGGCCGGGCGGGGGCGGGGGTCCCGGGGAGGCGGCACCGCGGGGCGGGCCCCGGCCTCGCTCGCAGCCCACCCGGATCCCAGCCCTGGACCCACGGGTGGTCCCCGAGCCCCACCGGGAGTAGCTCCGGAGTGCAGAGCCAGGGACAAGCCCTAGGACATGCCCGGGGTGGCCCCCCCAAAACAAGATTTGCAGTGGCCTTGTTACAGGGTCACTGGGCTGGTGCTTTTCTATCCTTAATAGTTGTAAGGATTTTTTTTTTTTTTTTTTGCTTTTTGGGTCACACCCGGCGATGCTCAGGGGTTACTCCTGGCTCATGCACTCAGGAATTGCTCCTGGCGGTGCCCGGGGGACCACATGGGATGCTGGGGATCGAACCCTGGTTGGCCGTGTTGGCTGCCTGCAGGGCAAACGCCCTACCCGCTGTGCTATTGCCCCAGCCCCAGTAGTTGTAAGGATTTTGACTTTCTGCTGCACTTCATCGTTGCCTCTTACTTGGGAAGTAGAATTTGGAGAATCAAGGGCTTGTTGAGTTCGGGCGGGTTGGGGGTGTTGTGTTTGGGGATTGTTCCCTCTGGTGCTCTGGGTACCATGCAGTGCCTGGGTTAAACTGGGCTTGAGTGCATGCCAAGTAAATCACCATGGTCCTTCTTTCTACTTTCTGGCCCTCGGATGAACTATTATTTGCTGCTTGTTTAGGGGAGGGTTATTAACCACGCACCCAACTTGCTCAGGGATCACTTCTGGTGGGCTCAGGGGATCAGATGTCATGCCGGGTATCAAACCTGGGTTGGCTGCTTGCAATACAAGCACCCACCCCGCTGTTCTACCGCTGATCCCAAATATGAATTTGCTTTATGTTACTAGGTAATTTAACCTCCCACTCTCCTGCTCCCCAAAAAGGAAGATTTGCTAGTTTTTTTCTGAAAATATCAAGACCTTAGAGGTCTTGGTATTTTAGGGCTGAAGGGTTATACATGGCAGGTGTGGGTTTAATCCCTGGCACTTTATGACTGGGGAGCAACCCATAAATGCTGTCAGAGTTGACCGTAAACCAGTTAAAAAAAAAAAATCTTTATTTGAGAAGCCAAACAGCCATTTGCAGCTTACATCTTGCAGGTTCAATCCTTGGCGCCTAAGGGGGTAAAAGATACTTGCGTGGTCTTAAATATTGGTGCAGTTCTTGGGGGTCTGAGGTCAAGGAAGAGAACCATGTTCTTAGCAGAGTTGTAGGTTGGAGGGTTAGGTAGCAGAAAAACTAGAGCTGCTGCATGTGAACCTTGCTTGGTTTGGTATCTTGATTATCTGTTTGGCAGTCATACCCGGCCGTGCTGGGGGCTGGCTTCCAGTTATCTGCTCGGAAATCACTCTTGGTGGGGCTCAGGGGATCCTCTGGGATGCCGGTGATCAAGTCTGGGTTGGCCACATGCAAGTCAGTTGTCCTACCTACCAGGCAAGTGCTGCCCTCTCTCTCCAGCCTAGGAAAGGAATATTCTGCTGATTTATTTTCACCTTTTTTTTTTTCTTCCCTATTCTAAGTTTCCGCTTAATTTATTTTAGTGGATTTAGATGGGTCTTCTGGTTAGCATAATCGAGGTGCTTGTATTATTGAGGAATGTCAAGGGGCAGCTATCTTATTTGGAAAAGTGTTTGACAAGCTTCATAACAGCAAACTTTTAAAAAAATGTTTATTGGTTTTGGGCCATGTTGGGTGATGCTCAGAGGTTACTCCTGTCCCTGCTCAGGGGTCTCTCCTGGCAGGGCTTGGGGAGCTGGGGATCAAACCTGTGTCGGGCGGGTGCCAAGGCCACTGTGCTATCACTGAGGCCCCATGTCTTTGTATGTAATGAAGGCACAGGGAGACAGGTGTGTGATCGTGTCAGTGCCAGGCCGGGGCCACAGCTGCTGGTGCCTGCACATCTCCTCAGGACCAGCATGGCAGAGCAGAGCCAGAGCTCTCGGGGTAGTTTGAGTTTGGCTTGCCAAAACCCAGCACGGTAAGAAATTGGGCAGGTGGGCAGAAAGTACTTGGAGCACAGTTTATTGGACACCTGTAAAATCTGGTTTCTTCCTCAAGGATGATGAGGAAGGTCTAGGGAGATGTCTCTGGGCTGCAGCCAGGGACTGGAGTGATAGACTAGTGGATGGGGTTCTTTGCACAGGCTGGCTTGGGTTTGACCCCTGGCACCCCCTAGGTCCTGAGAACCATCAGGAATGATCCCTGAGTGCAGAGCCGGGAGTAAGTTCTGAGCAGGGCCCAGTCTGGCTACAAACAGAGCTGCGGCCCAGCATCCCTAACATCACCAGGATCAGCCTTAGGGCACTTTCTAGGTGTGCCTAAGAAGGAAAAAGAAAATTTCATTGATAAAGTTGATCACTTGGAGGTCAGGTGTGTCATTCAGGGCAGCCTGAATAAAAACTGGTTCTTTTGTGTGTTTGGGGAGTGTCAGCAAAGGAGCGTGGCAGGGGTATCTGATACCAGGAAAATGCAGGGGGCTTTGTTTACTGGTCCCAGTCCCGAATCCTCTGACACAGACTTCAGCTGGAGCGGTTCTGAATGCAGTGGGGAGGAAGTGGCATCTCCACCAAGGACCAAAACAAGCCGTGGGACTTTGTTGCCCAGTATATGGTCCTCCACAGTTGAAAGTTCCTAAAATGACTCTGAGATAGAGGGACTGTCCCACTGGACTCGGATAGGTTGGGCCTGTTCCTGCAGAGTCCGATGATGGAGTTACCCTCAAGTGTCCCGGTGAGGCCTCTGGTCCCTCCGCCGGGCACCCCCCGAGCCGCTCACTGCCTTGTTGTCCCTGCAGAATCCTCACCATGGATGGGCTCACCGAGGACATCAAGCGGCGGCGCTACTACGAGAAGCCCTGCCGCCGGCGTCAGAGGGAGAGCTACGAAACGTGTCGGCGCGTCTACAACATGGAAATGGCACGCAAGATCAACTTCCTAATGCGGAAGAATCGGGCGGACCCGTGGCAGGGCTGCTGAGGGCCCTGGGCAGAAATCCAGAGGCGACCCCACTCGGTTTCCTTTGGCCTCTCCACGGTAAACTCAGGCACAGATGCCGAGGCGGGTGTGTAGGAGAGTCCCCACCTAGCAGGGGACCTTCTCTTTGATTCAGTGAGAGAACCGAACCAGAAGGCTTTTTAGGAGTCGGGCTGCCGCCAGGACAGCAGCGAGAGCTGGTCGATGATGTAGAAATTCCTGGGAGCCGACAGAGCTCGGATTTCCTCCCCAGTTTTTAGGAAAACAGAGCAGGATGACCAGAAAAGCATTGTTGTCCTGTCCTGCCTACCCCGGATCCAGTAACTGTCAGATTGAAATGGAAGCAAATGTGGAGTTGGAATAAATTTTTCTGAAACACCATCCGCTCGACTCTAGTGTGCATTAACTCCTGTGTTCTGTCCTGTCAGAAGACGAGGGCAGGCCAAAAGCATAGGTGGAGCAGAAATAAAACGGGAGCTTGAGGTAGAAGAGGGAATGGGAGCGTGGAAACACGAACTCTGATGCAGTTCTACTTTCATGACAACAGAAGGAAGTGTGGTTTTCACTGTGGACCCCCAGAACAACCTATTGTTACGCGGGAAATTGTTCTGAAATGTGGGATGGGTGGCAATGAGTTTGTTTTTAAATTTTACTCTTATAAAGTTGCTAACAATATTTGATTACATTTAATGTTCGAATTCCAGTCCCACCACCATATTTCCATTCTGAACCCAAACCCTGCCCCCAAAGCAGGACCGAAATAATATATTGTATTGCTTGTTATGAATAATTTACTAAAAAAATGAGACGGAAAAGGTTTCTTAGAGGAACGTGTGTGAAGATTGTTGTATTTCACCCAGGAACCATTAAGCCCTTCTATAAGAGATTAATGACACGGTGTTAAAAGGTTGAGCCCCGTGGCTGAAGCAATAGCACAGCAGGTAGGGCGTTTGCCTTACACACAGCCGACCCGGGTTCGATTCCCAGAAGCCCATATGGTTCCCCCGAGCGCTGCTAGGAGTAACTCCTGAGTGTAGAGCCAGGAGTAACCCCTGTGCATCGCCAGGTATAATCCAAAAAGCAAAAAAAAAAAAAAAGTTGAGCCTTGTGTGCTTATCTATATCTGTATAAATATATTTCTTCCTAAGATTGGTGCCTTCCACTTTAAACCCCATCAAATGTGGTGTGCTACCCTTGGAATATTAGTGGTGTGAGGTATGAAATGCTGCATTTGCGGCCACCTGCTCCAGGAGTAGGTTCACTCAAGAATGAGGCTTGTCAGAGCCTGTTGAGGGCTACTGTGAGCATGGCAGCAGTTGAGTTCTGGAGGTTTTTGGCTGCTGGGGCTGGGTCCGTCGGGGCAGGGAGGGAGGGGCCTCACCTGCCTCCCCTTCTGCGTTTCCCTGAATGATAGTCTGGCACAGGGTTTGTCGACATGTCTATGGCGTATCATTCTGTGCTCTCTTCCTATATTGAGTCTCTGATCATGGCCGTTAAATGAGATTATATGGCGCCAGCAGCAGCTTGTGGGTATGACTGCCAAGCTACCTGAAACGGGGAGATGGGGGGAGGTCACCCATTCCCTGGTTCCATTGAGCCTGAAGTTTTCAGTCACAAGTCCCGCATACCTGTTTTTTTCTGCGGATTCACTCATGGATGTGGCTTGTTCAAGTGTATGGAGAGTCACCTTGAACATGGCAGCAATTGGGTTCTGCAAGTTTTTGGCTGCCAAGGTTGGGGCGGGGAGGGGCCTCACCTGCCCTTCCAGGTTGCCCCGAATGAAGCAGCCTGGCGCAGGGGCTGGCAGCATGACTATAGCGTGTCTGGCAATGAGTTCTTAGCAAGTAAGAAAACCAAGATATGTTTGTTTTGGGGTCACACCTGCAGGTGCTCAGAGCGCAGGGCTTCTGGCTCTGCACTCAGGGATCATTCCTGGTGGGGCTTGGTGGATCATGGGGTGCTGGAGACCAAACCAGAGTCTGCAGGCTGCAAGGCACTAAGTGCCCTTCCAGCTGTACTAGTGCTCCAGTCATCCAAGATGGGATTTAAAGAAACTCTGTCCCTATTCCTAAAGTAGCAAAAAGCATTTTTAGACCTGGGTTGCAGACACAGGAACTGAGTTCTGATCAAACTGTCAACAGCACAGGCACAGAGAAGACCGGACCCCTTTGGAAAGAAGCTCCAGCAGGCACAAAGGATTGTGGTGTGGACAGGAAGGTGGACACCGAAAGTTTCAGCTCTTCACCTTGACAACACCATAGCAGTGGACTCTTCTGCACAAAAAGTCCAGAAAGCTCCATGTGGTGGCAGATCGGGAGAAAACCTATAAAGCCAGCTTTGCAAAGGCAAGCAGGATCTTCCTGTTCTAGGGGTGTCCGCGTCTCCACCAGAGCTGTGTGCTCAGCTCTTCTTAGATGCCTGCTTCCCCCTGCCCCCCCTCCCCCCGAGTGTGTTATTCTGTTTCTAATCTCTGAAATGAAACTTCTGAAATTCTTTTCTGAGAAAAATTGGTGAAGCTATAAAAGCCTGATTGAGGACTTCATTTTCCCACAAAGAGCAAGTCCTTGCTCCGGCCTGAGTCTGAAGCTCCTCAGGAAATCAGATGGCGGATCATCTCCCAACCAGGCAGAGGAAGTGGAACTAGTTTCAGTATCCTGGGGCTGGTGACCCACGAGGTCTGTCCCGGGCAAAGGCTCAGGGCAGACCGGTCAGTCACTTCCCCAGGTGGGGAAAGGGGAAACAGCGGATTCCGATCTTGAGGCTGTCACTTCTCCCCACTTCACGTCAGCCACCAGCACCACTCTCCATCGATGACTGAATTCCTCAGTCGCTTCCCTAACTGCAAAGGCAGGCCCGTTAACAGAGCACTGAGAGCAGCTCTGAATGTCGGTGTGGAGAGAGGGTCCTGCCTTGCACCCAGTAGAGTCCGTCGAGTCCTGCCAGAAGTGATCCCGGAGTGCAGCAGTAAGCCCTGACCACTGCTGTCCATGGGCCCAAACCACATACAATCTAGGAATGACAGAAGGATGGCAGTGGTTGATGAGGCTTGAGGGGCTGGAACAATAGCACAGCGGGTAGGGCGTCTGCCTTGCAAGCAGCCCACCTAGGTTCGATTCCCAGCATCCCATATGGTCCCCTGAGCACCACCAGGGGTAATAACTGAGCGCAGAGCCAGGAGTAGCCCCTGTGCATCACCAGGTGTGACCCAAAAATCAAAAAAAAAAAAATTTAAAAAAAAGAAAGTTGAATGTTGGGCTGGAGTGATCGCACAGCAGGTAGGGCATTTGCCTTGCACGCAGCCGACCCGGGTTCGATTCCCAGCATCCCATATGGTCCCCTGAGCACCGCCAGGAGTGATTCCTGAATGTATGAACCAGGAGTAACCCCTGTGCATTGCCAAGTGTGACCCAAAAAGCAAAAAAAAAAAAAAAAAAAAAAAGAGGCTTGAGCAGTTCAGAAGTGGTGAGGAGGCTCCAATAACTAAATCATCGACCTTGGGAACAGAGTCTGGGGCTCGAGGCGCTTGCCTTGCCCGCCACCGGCACCGATCCGTGGCTGGTACCACTTGGGTTCCCCAGCACTGCCAGGGATCACGCTTGGGCACGAACACGCGTGGCCTCAACCTGTGCTTCTCTCCCCGGAGGGGGGGGAAAAAAACATTGAAGACAGTTAACAAGACCAATCATCTTGAGAGTCTCAGCACGCTTCTTTCCCCCCTCTGGTGCCAGGAATGCCACCCGGGCACGTGCTGCGCCGTGGTGTGGTCTTCTCCCCGGGGGACCCCGGGCACCCCCGTCCAGTGTCAGGTTTGGGCGGAGGTCGCGCTTGCATTCTCCCAAAGGCCCCGCCTGCAGTTCCAGTTCGTCCTCGTTCCCCCCGTTTGAGCCCCTGGAGCCCACCCGACCTCGGCCCCACCCGCGGGCATCCGGGTCGCGCTCACCCGCCTGGACCTCCCGGCGGCGGCGGGTGCAACCGGGAGCTCGGCCGGGAGCCCGCGCGGCGGCGGCGGCGGCGGCGGCGACTGCGGCTGCGCGGACAGGCCCCGCCCCATCACGTGTCTGCCGCGGCGACTGCGGCTGCGCGGAAAGGCCCCGCCCCGTCACTTGTCGGCCGCGGCGGCGGCGACTGCGGCTGCGCGGACACGCCCCGCCCCGTGTCTGCCGCGGCGACTGCGGCTGCGCGGTAAGGCCCCGCCCCGTCACTTGTCAGCCCCTGCGGCGGCGACTGCGGCTGCGCGGACACGCCCCGCCCCGTCACGTGTCGGCCGCGGCGTGGCGGCGGCGGCGGCGGCGACTGCGGCTGCGCGGCCACGCCCCGCCCCGTCACGTGTCGGCCGCGGCGTGGCGGCGGCGGCCGCGGCGGGAGCGCCCGCGGGGCCGGAGGGCGCCCGCGGCTTCCGGTTCCGGTGTAACGTTTGGGCTCCGTCTCCCGGGCTGAAGTTTGTCTGGTGAGTCGCGTCCCGGCCGCGGTGGGTCGGCGCGGGCCGGGGGCGGCGTGGGGGCGCCGCGGCGGGGGGCGGGGGGCGGCCGGGGGGCGCGGGGCCGCGCGGGGCGGCGCCGAGCACGTGCGGTGACAGCCGCCCTCGGCGGGGCGCGGGTCCGAGCTGCGGGAGCGGGCGTGCGGCGTGGAGCGTCGCGCCCGCTGGAGGCCGCGCCCGGCTCGCACCCGGGACCGGGCCCGGGGCGGCGGCGGCCCGGAAAGGGCCCCCCCCGGCGATGACCCTTGCTCGCGGGGGTCCCGGGTGCTGCGCCTGCCCCCCGCGCCCCGCCCCGGAGGCCGGGACGACGAGCACGGTCGGTGGGTGCTCGCCGTGCACGCAGCCCACCCGTGCTCCACCCCCGGTCGCCGTGGGGCCCCCACCCGTGGTGGTCCCGGAGCAGAGCCAGGAGTCAGCGTGGAGCACCCTTCGGGGCTGGCCCCAAAACCCCAAATCGAAGCCAGACCGGGAAAAAAAAACCCCAACTTCGTCCCCTCCTGGGTGTTTTCTTTCTCGTCCACTCTTTTCATTCATCTGTCTTTTTTTTTTTTATTTCTATAAAGACAGGAGAGGAAACGCTGGTTGCAGCATCGGATTGGGAGGAAAGTGAATGCAGAGGAAATGTGACGGAACGTTTGGGGTTGGGGGTTTGGTTCGGGCTGGACCCAACAGTGCTCAGGGCCCACTCCCAGTTCTGTGCTCGGAGATCACTCCTGGCGGGCCCGGGACCAGATGCAGGTGCTGCGGATGGAACTCGGGTCAGGCTGCCAGGCAAGGCCAGCGCACTCCCCGCTGCACCGCCGCTCCAGCCCAAGCTCTGTTTTTGATTTTAGGCTGTGCCCAGGGCTGCCCCGTAGCTCTGGTCCTTTCTGGCGAGGGACACCGAGCCAGGGCTCCTGCCTACAGAGCTTGCATTTCAGCCGGCTGAGCCATCTCCCTGGTTCCTGACAGTGTTCTTTCAGGTTATGGTCTTTCACGTAGACTCCCTTTCCGCATCTTTGGGAAGAGACCAGATATCCCTAGGTAAAGCCCGGCAAAGAAACAAGTAGCAGTTGTGCTTTTCTTGTGTTCTGTTTTGGGACGACACTCAGCCATGCTGAGGGCTTGCTTCCTGGCTCTGTACGCAGGGATGGGAGATGACGGGCTTGGGAGACCATCCATCTGTGATCGGACCTGGACGGGTCACACGCAGAGCAAGCGCCCTCCTTGCTTGCTGTGTGCGTGCACCTTTTTTCAGTCTTGATTTCGTAGTCTGTGTTTGAGATGACAGATCAGAACAGAAGCTAGAGCTCATTTCTTAGACTGGGTTCTTTGCTCTCTTTTTATTTTTTTCTTGTCACACCCAAGTTGCTTAGGGGTCCCTCCTGGCTCTGCACTCAGGAGTTACTCCTGGTGGTGCTTGGGGGATGCTGGGGATCGAACCTGGGTCAGCCATGTGCAAGGCAAATGCTCTGTCTGCTGTACTATCGCTCTGGCCCTTAGATTGCGTTTTTGCCAGGCTTGCTTATTCCACAGATTTTATTGGTCCACTGATGATGCTGCGTTAGGTTAAAAATCAAATGGAGGGGCTGGAATAACAGTACAGCGGGGAGGATGTTTGCTTTGCACGGGGCTGACATGGGTTCTATTTCCGATATCCCATGTAAAACCCCCTGAACATCTCCAGGAGTAATGCCAGAGTACAGAGCCAGGAGTAACTCCGGAGCACCGCTGGTTGTGGCCTTAAAAAAAAAAAAGGAGTAGAATGTAGTTCTTTCTGCTTTGAAGCATGGTTTTAAAGAAGGTACCGGACTTGAAGTACAGGAACTTGCCTGAGAATTGCGTGGTTGGGAGGGCCTTGCTGCCGCTCGCTTCTCTTCCGTCTTTTCTCTCCTCTCATCTCATTCTCTCGGTTTCTTCCTCAGTTGAATTGATTCCCGTTCGCACTTTCTCGTTTCCAGAGAATGGCTCTGTCGAAGCGGGAGCTGGATGAGCTGAAGCCATGGATCGAGAAGACAGTGAAGAGGGTGCTGGGCTTCTCGGAGCCCACGGTGGTCACAGCAGCGCTGAACTGCGTGGGCAAGGGCATGGACAAGAAGAAGGCAGCTGGTATGTGCCCTCCTCGGGCTGGGTTTGCTCTTTTGGCTGCGTTCGGATCAGGTGCCGGGCACCGAACCTGGGCCCTGCCCGCAGGCTTCTGCTCCCGCCCTCTCACTCGTTTCCCGAACCCCTTTTGAACTTTCCAGCAACACATAGTAACTCCGCTCACTGCTTTGTTCTTGCTCAAATGTCTCTGGGAAACATCTTAAAAAGGTCAGTCTGAATTTTATTTTCTCATGCATTGCAGGGGAAATCGCCTAAATAATCTGACTTTTTTTCCTCATTGGTCTCTATTTGCGACATTTTCCATGCCCTTTAGGCATTGTACTGAGTTAGCTAAGAGAAACGTTTCTAAAGTAGGCTTGCTAAAGTCTAGTGAGGGTGTTTAGATTCAGATGCGCGTTTAGAGAATATAAGCGTCTTTGTAAGGTACGAGAAGAAAGTGGAGGAGGGAGGTAGATTTTGTTCGTGGTAGTCTACCACTTTTACAACTTGCCATTTGGGGAAAGTTGGGGTATTCTCCACTTCGGTGCTCCAGCTAAACAGTGCTCGTACTTTTGCTAGTTTCTCCTCCATAAAAAGTGCATCTATATTTAACTAAGGCGGCAGGTTGTTCGGTGTCAGGAAACTTGTTCAAGCCCTACCGAGGGCTTTAAGGAAACATCGCTGTTCCTTCTGGGGATAGAATTCCAGAGTCAGGGCAAGGGAGGAGGCTTGCCTGCCTGCTCGCAGGGCCCTCAGTTTCCTCGCCAGCCCCAGCGAGCATAGCCGCCGCGACCCCAGCATCACTGGGGGGGTCCCGGGGTTGGTATCACGAATGCCCTCGGCTGGAATACGTGCTCTTCCTCTTTCAATCCTGCCATCTAGTTTTTCTTCCTGTCAGACCACCTGAAACCGTTTCTTGATGATTCTACTCTGCGATTCGTGGACAAACTGTTTGAGGCCGTGGAGGAAGGCCGGAGCTCTCGGCATTCCAAGTCCAGCAGTGACAGGAGCAGGAAACGAGAGCTCAAGGTAAGGACGGGTCCGTTCTCCCGCGAGCTCCCGACACAGCTCTCAGCCCCACGGTTAGAACGTCTCCTCTTCAGAGGGGTTGAGGCACGGAAGGAGAAGGGAGGAGCCCGGCCTTGTCTGATCATGAATCAGACGTGCGCGGGCTTACGTAGCGCAAGGATAGCGAGGGGTAGTAGCTTTGTGGTTTGTTGTACGCAGTTAGGAGGCTTGGTTGTCAGGTCTCCCGTTTTCGCCCTTCGCCCTTCCTCTTACCTCTGACTCGAGTCTTCTAAGTTTGTATGCTTCCGTTTACTTGAGACCCGATAAATTTCTTCGCGCTGTTTCTTCACTGTCACCTGAGCTGTTACTGCTGTTGTCTGCAATGGGCTTGTGGCTGGGTGGGATAACATCTCAAGAACTCCATGCTCTGTCGCGTATTGCGATCCGCTGACCCCCGGGAGAGAGTTCTTAGAGGTACCATCACCACAGCGCCTCTCCCTGACCCACCAGCTTCTGATGTACCGTAGGTGACCTTGTCAGCCAGGGTTTTCACTGTGACCACTGTCTAGTCGCTCCTCAGTCTTTTTTCTCTCTCTCCCTCCCTCGTAAACATTTTTCTGGGACTCCCATCAAACCGTCCTTCCAAAGTGCTTTTGACACCTTGGCTGTCCCTTTGTGTGTTTAGGCTCGGTCCCTGACCTGGCTGTGGACCCAAGGGAATGAGAGGCGCATGTGCTCCCCGTTCAGGGCATTTGGGGGGACCAAAGCAACGAGACAGCCAGTGCCATAGAGGGTTTGGCAGTTTGTGGGGGAGAGGGCACCACAGAACTACCCAAGTATTGTAGTTTCATGCGACTGTTTTGTTGACTGAGGTTTCACGGACCTGGTGCTGTGTCAGGGCTGTGCTTGCGCATAGTAGACGCTGCACAGGTCTGTGCAGTGACAGTGACCCAAACGTGCTGCCACGTGCAGAGTGCATCCTGGGAGTGAAGTGGCGGCACTGGGTGGGATTCAAAAAATGGTTCCCAAAGGAAGTGTCTAGAAAGCCTGGGGGAGCGGGTCTTGTTTGGTCCATTAAGGTTCCCACCCCACACAAGATATTATGGGAGAGTCCTTTTTCTTGAACTGTAGGAGTTCCAGGAAGCGCTCGCCCCTGGCTGAGGATATGTCCTTGCAAAACCCGAGCCCTCCTAGTGAAGAGGGGATGTCACCCAAAGCCTGTCACCGGTGTGTACATTCACTTTTTCCCGTTGTCCCTCCCAGTTGGCTGCTCTTGGTCCAATTAAATTCGACCTGCAAATTAGAGTATTTACTTTCTCATTGTTACCTGAGACCAAAGTGTTGTGGGGAATACTGAAGGAAAAGGAGAAAACCCGAGTCCTGGATGAGCTTAGAAACTAATTGGAAGTACTACCGTTGAAAGACAGCAGAAATAGGATGTCAACAATGTAACCGTACTTAGTCTGAACCAAGTTTGTAACTACTGAGGATGGGAAATTGAAGTTCGATGAGTGGGGTGAGAATATTATTAATGAGGAAAATTTTCTGGAGGAGGTGAGTTTCAGGCAGAAACTGGAATAGAAATTGTAAGGAGGTTGAGGGAGATGATTACAAATATGGGCGGTATCACCTGCAAAGGTCTTGCTACGGAAACGTTTGTAAGAAATGGGGGCGTGAGGTTTGCTTGAGCGGGAGAATGATGAGGCTGGCGGAGATTGTCCGTTTGGTGGCAGGTCTAGAAGACATCTGGGCCCTGGCAGGTGGCCCTGTGCGAGGGTGTGTCCTAGTCCCCTGGGAAAAGCCACACGTCGCCGCTAGAGACTAGGATGCTTCTTCCTTCTCCCACGGACAGGCATCCATCTCTTCTTTCATCTTGGATTCCCTTAGGAAGTATTTGGAGATGACTCCGAGATTTCCAAGGAATCGTCAGGCGTGAAGAAGCGGCGGATACCCCGCTTTGAGGAAGTGGAAGAGGAACCGGAAGTGATCCCTGGGCCTCCCTCTGAGAGTCCCGGCATGCTCACCAAGCTCCAGGTTAGTCTTCGGGCCCCGGCAGGCGAGACTGGAGGGTTGTAGGGACAGTTGCACGGACCCACATCTGCTTTTTGTCCGTTGCATTGGTTTACTTTGATTTGCTGCTTCGTGTTTCCTCGTTCTTTGGTCTGGTCAGGAGCATTCGGTTGAGGACTTGGGATTTGGCTCCTGGCTCACGGAACGCATCACGGACCTCGCTGGGTCGCTGGGAGAATTAACTAACGGGGCCGCTGCTCCTCTTCGACCGCAGAAGAGAGAGCTTCAGTTCAGCGCAGAAAGTGGCGCTTTGCTTCGTTTCCAGTTGACTTTGTGATTGGGGGCGGGGGTGTCCTCCCAGTGATGCTCCTGTGCCCTGGGGACTCCTGCTGATGCTTATCGAGCCAGGCCTGGGGGGGCGGTCAGTGCTAAGACCTGAAAGGGGAGCCGCACCCCAGTGCCCTGTGTGGTGGGCTCGGGAGGGGACAGTGGGGCTGGGATCGCGCCAGAGTTCTGGACGTGGAAGGCACGCACCCCTAACCTGTGCTGTGTCCTTGGCCCCAGATGCTGTTTTTGTTTTTGTTTTTGTTTTCCTTAAAGTAGTTTTATTGAAAGGAATTTACTTAGAAAACTGAAGGAGTGAGTGGGGAGAGAGAGAAAGATGCTCTCAAGCGAGAATACGCTTCTCCAGAGGAGAGCTGCAGAGAGTGCCCGTCAGTGGAGACGGCCTCCTTGGTATTATCCTAGTGGGAGTGTTTCTTTTTTCAGATGTGCAGTTTTGATATCACTAAGTCGTTAGTACTGCTTGCTGCACCATTTAAATGTTTTTGGTGGGAGGGAAGTATAATGTATGTGCTTATGTGTTATTGCTAATTTTTTTTTTTCTTTTTGGGTCACACCCAGCGATGCACAGGGGTTACTCCTGGCTCATGTACTCAGGAGTCACTCCTGGCGGTGCTCAGGGGACCATATGGGATGCTGGGAATCGAACCCGGGTCGGTCGTGTGCAAGGCAAACGCCGTACCCGCTGTGCTATTGCTCCAGCCCCTTATGTGTTATTTCTACAAGTAAAATCATTGATTTTTTTTAAAAATAGGGATTGAGAATAAGAATTATAAAGAATAAGCATTTTTGTTCTACCTTGGAAACATGTAAACAAGTACAGGAGGTGAGGTGGTTGCCTCCCTGATTCCACGTAGAGTCTCCAGAGCAGAACCAGAAGTGATCCCTGAACATAGGGACACGAATGATCCCTGAACACTGCCGATGTGTTCCAGTCCTTTCTGTGGCTCCTCCCACTTCCCTGGTTCCTTAGGGACCAGAGAAGAGGCCGCTTAGCCGGTGCCTGACCTGGTTTGATCCCTAGCACCCCGTATGGTATCTCAAAGCCCGACAGAAGGGAGCCCTAAGCACAGCGCCAGGAGTTAGCCCTGAGCACTGTGGGTGTGGCACAGAAACAAAAATATTTCCTCAAAAAATACTCACTTCCTTGAAACGCCTTGAAAGTGATGTTTCAGAAAAAGTTACTTGACTAGATCCTCAAGCATAATTTTGGAACTGCTTCAGCCTAGAGAGAAGGGAGCTTATAGCGATGAAAGACGAGGCCTTTGTGCTGCCTCTCTGGTCACCAAAACAGAATGAATTGGGGACTGACGGCTTAATTTTTTCGGTAAAGAGTACTGGGGGGCTGGAGAGATGGTGCAGCGGGGAGGGCACTCGCCTGCCATGTGCCCGACCAGCTTTGATCCCTGGTATCCCATAAAGTCCCCCAAGCCCCTCCAGGGGTGATCCCTGAGCACAGGTAAAGGAGTCAGCTCTGACTGTCAGGTGTAGTCCCCTCCAAAAAGGAAAAACCATGTTTTGAGCTGGAGAGACAGCATACAGATGCTTGCTTTACATGTAACTGACCCCAGCTTGATCCCCAGCATCACATACGGTCCCCTGAACACCACCAGGAGTGATCCCTGAGCACCACAAAGTGTGGCCCCATCCCCTCAACCCCCACACAAAAACATTTGGGGGCCCGACAGGCTTGCTGGGTACTGGCATTTAGTTTGTCTTGCCTGCAGCTAACTCCAGTCAGTCCCAGATGCTGCATTGGAGTCGCCCTCGAGCACTGCTGGGAAGTGTCCCGTATCACCAAGCCCCACTTAAAATACGTACTTTGGGGTTTTTCCGATATTTTGCATGTTTTTTCCCCCCCTTTTTGGGTCACACCCAGCGATGCTCAGGGGTTACTCCTGGCTCTGCACTCAGGAGTTACTCCTGGCAGTTTGTGGAGTACCATACGGGATGCACAGGATTGAACCTTGGTCGGCCGCGTGTAAGGCAAATGCCCTGCCCACTGTACTATTGCTCCGGCTTCGTGCATGCATATTTTTTAAATGTACCCGACAGGGGCCAGAGCCATACTACAGAAGATAGGTCATTTGCCTTGCACACAGGTGGCCTGGGTTCAATTCCTGACACTCATAGGGTCCCTTGAGCATCACCATGTGTGTTCCCGGAGCTAGGAGTGAGCTCTGCGCACTGCTTGCCTAAAAACAAACAAGAAAAATTCATCTAGCACCTTGTCAAGTATTTATAACTACATCTTCGGCCACTTGGAAGTTCGAAGATTAAATGCCATGTAGGGGCGGAGGGATAGTCCAGTGAATAGGGTGTTTGCGTATACACAGCTGATCTGGGTTCGAACCTCAGCATCCCATACGGTCCCCCAAGAACTGCAGGACTAATTTCTGAGCCCAGAGCAGGATTAACTCCTGAGCCTTGCTGGGTGTGAGTCCGGAAAATAGATGATATGTCAAAGGTGACATAGGCACTAAGTCTCGTAGCAGAATTAAGATTCAAATCTCGGCTTTCTGCCCAGAATCTTAGTAGCTTGTTACTACCCTGAGGATGGCATGAACGGTGCCAGAGCTGTGCTAGACTCCGCTGTGAAAGCTTAGCCTAGATCTCAGCTGATGCCGCAGGGAGCATCAGTGGATCATGAGAAGCATTCAAGAACGCGCAACTTGGAAGCCCACTAGTGCAGGCCTCTGCAGGAAACATAGAAGGGAGAAGTTAACGGTCTTGAACTTTCCCCCACCGGAGAGCAGATCAAGCAGATGATGGAGGCGGCTACGCGGCAGATAGAGGAAAGGAAAAAGCAGCTGAGCTTCATTAGCCCCCCGACGCCTCAGGTACGGTGCCCGGTTGCTCTGCCATCGCAAGGCGCAGTTGGAGCGGGTTGGGGCATCGCCCAGGGCTGTGGCTTAATGGTAGGGAGCGTGCTGTGCCTGTGGAAGGTCTGGGTTCGCTCCTTGGGGCCCACCCTTGGAGTAAGACCACCTTGAACACGAAATTTCTCGGAGCTCATCCGAGTCCAGGAGTGATAGTGTGTTCCCCTTTCTGGCCTCCCCTGGGGCGGGGTGTGTGCGCGTCTGCTTGTCTGATCTTCTGGTTCTTCTCTCGCAGCCAAAGACTCCCTCTTCCTCCCAACCAGAGCGACTTCCCATTGGCAACACTATCCAACCCTCCCAGGCTGCAACGTTCATGAACGATGCTATTGAGAAAGCCAGGAAGGCGGCGGAGCTGCAAGCCCGCATCCAAGCCCAGCTGGCACTCAAACCGGGCCTCATTGGCAACGCCAACATGGTGGGCCTGGCCAATCTCCATGCCATGGGCATTGCCCCTCCGTGAGTATCGATTTCTTGAAATTCCTTGTCATTTGAGGAGTATCAATGGAAGTTGATTGTTTTGAGACGTAATCGATCATTCTTATCAGAATTTTTTTTTATGACATCTTATTGTATCATTCCTACTTTTGACAAACTGGCAGGCTCCCGAATGTAGCCTGCCCACAGGGCAGAGTCTGGCAAACTCCCCGTGGCCTACCAAATATGCCAAATACCAGTAACAATGATGGGTCTCATTCTCCTAAATAGCCTTGAATATAATCTCAGGGCTAGGATGAAAGAGACGTTACTGGGGCCTGCTCGAGGCAATCGACGAATAACAGGATGATGAAATGAAAATGAAAAAAAATCGATCATTTGGGTGCTTCTGATCCATTTCTTTCAAGGAACCTAGGTAGTTTCTGTCAGTTTCCATTTTCCTTACATGTGACCATAGGTACAGTTTTAATTTATTCTCTCGGCTTCTTGCAAAGTTTATCTTATTGAGGTTAGGATTATACATCTAATTTTGTAGTAAGGAATAGAATCAGGTCTCCTGCTCCTGATACACCTGCGTATTCAGTACGTCTTGTTGAAACCACATCTGAGAATTCTCTTACTCTGGGTAAGAGGGTATTTTGTTTTTGGGGTCGTTTTTCCCCCGCTATGAGGATTAAAACCTAGGACATTCCATTACACATGAGAGGCATGCATTCTGCCACTGAGTCACATCCCCAAGCCACATAGGAGACACTTCAGTTCTAGCAGTTCTAGTGGTTGAGTTGGCATCTTGTTTGATTCCAGAGAGGATGATTGGAGATTCCCTCCAATGGAATTCTTTCGGTCTTGGTATTTGGGGCACATGTAGCCGTGCTCAGGACTGAGCCTCTTGCCTGCAGAGCCTGTGCTTAGCCCATTGCACCCTGAGACTCTCCGGCTTCTGAGGGCATTGAACAGAGATGACTCAGTTCAGACGCCTAGTTTGAGGGTTTTAGGGAAGATGCTACTTACTGATGGATTTATGTTCCCTTGGATTGTAGGTCTAGTTGTCTGTGGTTTTGATTTGCTCATCGTTTGACTTACTGTTCTTCTTGGGATTTATTTTTTCTGGGCTGTCTTTTAGGAAGGTGGAGTTGAAAGATCAGACTAAGCCCACACCGCTGATCCTCGATGAGCAAGGTCGAACTGTGGATGCCACAGGCAAGGAGATTGAGCTGACACACCGAATGCCTACTCTGAAGGCCAATATTCGTGCCGTGAAGAGGGAGCAGTTTAAGCAGCAGTTGAAAGAAAAGCCATCGGAAGACATGGAGTCTAATACCTTTTTTGATCCTCGAGTGTCAATCGCCCCTTCCCAGCGCCAGAGACGTACTTTTAAGTTCCACGACAAGGGCAAATTTGAGAAGATTGCTCAGCGGTTACGGACAAAGGTATCTGGGTTAGAATGTACTCTAGAGTTTCAGAAATATTACATAACTAATCAAAGGTAGTCCCAAAATACTATCAGTGTTTAGGGAGCCAGGTGAACAAATAATACGGCAATGAGTAAGCATTTCTGAAAAGCTGTGTTATTCCTGGAATACTTGATTTTTAGCTGGTTTTGAGGGTAGACGCGCAGATGTGCCCAGGACTTACTCCTGGGTCTGTGCTGGAGGACATAACTCAGTGTCAGAGATCACATGCAAGTGTACTGTCTCTCACCCCAATTTGTTTGTTGTTGGGGCTGGAGCAATAGCACAGCAGGTAGGGCGTTTGCCTTGCACGCGGCCGACCTGAGTTCGATTCCCAGCATCCCATATGGTCCCCTGAGCACTGCCAGGAGTAATTCCTGAGTGCAGAGCCAGGAGTAACCCCTGTGCATTGCCGGGTGTAACCCAAAAAGCAAAAAAAAAAAAAAAAGGTGTTTGTTATTTTGGGGGTTGGGGGGCAGACTTCCCCAGGATCTGGGTGGGCTCCATCAGCATTGCTAGAGACCATCAGTGCTGGGGGTTGACCCAGGCCTCTGTGACTCTGGGTTCAGCTCCAGACCTCAGTGATCTCCCAGTCCCTCTAGCTGATTTTGGGGTTCCCCCCCAGTGTTGGTACGGACTTGATTGTGCTCAGGGCTTACTGCTGGTTCTTTGCTTCGGCTTCACACCTGGTGGTACTTGGAGGACCGCAGCTGATACTGGGATCAGACCCACTTCAGCTGTGTGCAAGACAAGAGCCTCTCTGGCCACTTTCCTTATTTATAGTCAACTTAAGTGAAAAACATCAGAACATCTTTTTATGATATCTCATTATCTCATTCCTACTCTGGACAAACTTGCAGGCTATCGAATATAGCCTGCCCACAGGGCAGAGTCTGGCAAACTCCCCGTGGCGCACCAAATATGCCAAATACCAGTAACAATGATGGGTCTCATTCTCCTAAAAAGCCTTGAATATAATCTCAGGGCTAGGATGAAAGAGACGTTACTGGGGCCTGCTCGAGGCAATCGACGATTAGCAGGATGATGAATGAATGAATGAAAAAGTGAAAAAGTAGGAAGTCGAGTTTGATCCTTCTCCACATATAACTGAGGGCGAACCTGGTGTTAAATTTTCTTTTTTTTTTATTTAATTTTATTTTTATAAATTTGTTCAGAATAACTCATTGTACCGATAGTCAGACACCAGTCCCACCACTGTCACCGTCCCACCACCATAAGAGCCAAGTGTGGGAAGATTGTTGTGCTTCATCCTGGAGCCACGTAAGCCCGTTAGTAAGAAATTACAAGCGTGTATGTTAAACCCAAACAAATGTGTGCTACTTTTAGTGCACCAGCAGGCTAGGATATGAAACGTTGCACAACCACGAATGAGGCTGCGTGCTCCAGGAATTCTGAAATTTAGAATATGGTTATAGAGCAGATTCACTCATGGGTAATATGTATGTCGCTCTTCCGGGAGTTTTATTTCAGAGTCTCTGGGTCTTGGCTGTTGATGAGATTATATGGCACCTGAGGCAGTCTGTGGGTGTGTCTGCCAAGCTACTGGAAAAGTCGGGAGCTGGGGAGAGGAGGCCCAGTCCCACTCCGAGTGAGCTTGAAGATCCCAGTCACGGGTCCCGCATGCCTGGGTTTTTCTGCTGGTTCCCTCGGGGGTGAGGCTTATCCGAGCCTGTGGACAGCAGCCTTGAGCATGGCTGCGGTTGAATTATGGAGGTTTTTGGCACATGGGGTGCAGGGGTACTGCTGGGGCGGGGAGGGAAACTCAACCCGCCCCACTCCAAGTAGCCCCGGTGAAGACAGCCTGGCACGGGGTCAGGTCGTCCTGGTGTTAAATTTTCTGCACGTGACCCATGCATCGACTATGTTGTAATAATAATTCCGCGCTTTTCGAAAGTTTGTAAGTCTACAACTGTATCTCATGGTGTTTCACGAATACAAAAAAGAAGAAAAAGAAAATAAGTTATTAATAACTTAAAAAATAATAATTCAGTGCTTTGTACCTTCTCATCTTCACTTCAAAACACGTTTTGTTGGGGGCTGCCCACACCCCGTGGTTCTCAGGAAACTCCTGGCTCCGCTCTTAGAGGTCACTCCTGGTGGGACATGGGGACCATGTATGGTGTCAGGGGTCAAACCTACATCAGTTGCATGAAAGCCAAGTACCCTACTCATTGCACTATCTCACTGGCCCTCAGAACAGTGGTTTTTTGTTTTTTTTCTTTTTTTAAATTAAAGGGTATTGACAAGTGAGTTGAGAGTAACTCACTAAGAATAAGGACAGCTTTTCTAAACATGCAGAAATTGTGGCCTTCGCACCGTAATGAGTGTGGTAACGGAGTTTTAGAGTGGAATTCTGCCATCTCCCTCTCCTGTGACCCTTGACTTTGTTTCCCTTTTGGTTCATTCTGTCTGTAGGCTCAGCTTGAGAAGCTGCAGGCAGAAATCTCCCAGGCAGCTCGGAAAACAGGCATCCACACTTCTACCAGACTGGCACTGATCGCCCCGAAGAAGGAGCTGAGGGAAGGGGACATCCCTGAAATTGAGTGGTGGGACTCTTACATCATCCCGAATGGCTTTGACCTGTAAGTTGGTCTGGTTTGGGGCGGGGGGCGACGCCCAGCTGTTCTCGGAGCTTATTCCTGCCCCGAGGATTGAGCCCAGGTTGGCTGCCATACAAGACAAGTCCCGTACCCACTATTCTATCTCTCCAGCCCAAACTTTGGCTTTTATTTTGGTAGGGGGGTGTGGGGGGGGGACACACCTGGCAGTGTTCAGGACTTACTCCTGGCTCTGCACTCAGGGATCACGTCTGGCAGGCTTAGGGAAACATAGGGTGCAGGGGTCTGAACCCTTTATGCCATTTGTAAGGTAAGCACCTTACTTGCTTTTAAAAAACTTACTTGCTTTTAAAAAACTAGATGCCAAACATGTGCTCCAACCCTACTTACTGTCTCCACAGCCCAAGGCACTGACCACCACCAGGCCAATCCTTGGAATCTCCTTTCCATAGGGACTGTTTAGCAATGGCCTGGGGATCTCTGTGAGGTGCAGAAGCGTCCTGAGCATCTCTTGGGATCCCCCCACCCTGTACCCAAAAGAATATATGTGGCACCAGATAACCAGAGATCTAGCTAGCTCAGCAGTGGAGTACTTAGATTCATGTGTGAAATCTTGGGTTTGATCCCCCAGTACCACAGGAAACACACAGAAGAAAATAAGGCCTGGGTCACATTTCTGGTGTGGGGTCAATACAGGAGAAAGGGACGCTTTCTTAAAGCAGTCGTACACATTTCCTGCTTCTACTTACATATTATTTTGAGCATACTTGGTTTTTTAAAAACCTTATTGGGTGTTCCCTCAAACAGCTGGAGTTGGGAGTGGAAGCCAGTGCCCCTTCCATGCCAGGCACGCACTCTGCCTCTCTGTCGCGTTCCTGCCTCACTCGTTCCTGCTGTTGTGGTACTAAGATCCTGCCCGGTGCTGTTTGTGGCATCTGGGATCAAGCGCGGCCCTTCATGTGCTTCGCATGTATTCTTCCGCTTGAACCACATTCTAATTTATTGGGGCCAGTGCAGTAGTACAGTGGGATGTTGCCTTGTTCACACATGACCCGGCTCTGCTCCAAAACAAAAAAATAGGTCTCGAGGCGGTGGTTGGGGGGGAAGGAGGGAGAGGAGGGGAGGGAGGGAGAGAGAGAGAGAGAGGAAAGAGGGAAAAGAGACCTGGGCTGTATATAGGGATCACTTAATGACTGTACCCAGGATCATTTCTGACAGTGCTCTGGGATTGAATCAAGTCAGCCATGTGCAAGGCTTTATTACTGTCTAGCCCTGGTGGTTGTTTTTTTTTTTATGAAGTTTTTTTTTTTTAATATATAATTTTATTTATTGAATTACCGTGAGAGCAGTTATAAAGCTTTCGGGTCTAAGTCTCGGTCATACAATGAAACACGTGTACCTTCACCAGTGCCCATTCTCCACCACCAAAAAACCCAGTGTACCCCCATCTCACACCCTCCCCCTATCAGTGAGGCAGATGATTTCCACATTACTCTCTCTCTACTTTGATCACATTCAATATTTCGACACCAGACCCACCATTATTATTTGAGATTTTACCCCAACACTCAGATCTGCTAAAAAGCCCTGGTGTTTTTATTCCTTAAAGATCCAGTCCTAAAATATAGTCAAGAATTCCTAGAAAGAACGAGACAGTAGATGTTGGGCAGGAAGCGTTTGCCTCTGTGTTGTCCTTCTAACACAGGATCTCAGGACATTGTGTTTTAGCCTCTGCCTGCCCTTCTTTGGTCTACCACTATCTTAGAGTCTTTATTACAATACAAGACTATAATATCCATCAAGGGTGTCGGGGTAGGAAGAGCCTTGAGGACTTCCCAACATTATTAGCACCCAGTTTTCTCATGAGAAGTATGTTATCGATTTGCTCGAGTGGGCCCAGTAACGTCTCCATTGTGAGACTTCTTGTTACTCTGTTTGGCATATTGAATACTCTCGGTAGCTTGCCAGGCTCTCTGAGAGGGGTGGAGGAATCGAACCTGGCTCCGCCAGGTTGGCTGCGTGCAAGGCAGATGCCCTACCGCTGTGCTATCGCTCCAGCCCATACCACCCTGAACGCACTCGAAGTATGTTATAAAATGGGATATTATAGGTATGAAAATACTGGAAAAGGCGAGACTCCTTTATAGAAAGTGAATTTATTGTTTCGTTTGCAATATGGGGAGCTCATGAACAGTTGAAGGTTCTTACCTTACTTACAGTTGCATTCGCCGCCCCTGTTCAATCATGGCACCATTTTGGGGTTCCCAAGCATATAGCCGAAACTCCACTCCCTGTGCAAAAATATTTGTACTCAAACATTTGATAATTTGGGTTATTTACAGCATATTTTGGTCCAAGTCAGAGTCAAGTTATAATAGAAGGGAAAAGACTTACTTTGATACTCCTTTTCTTAGAATGACTTCTACCTATGTATCTTTTTTCCTTTTCCCTCCAATTTTAGTAGAGAGGAAAAGCCCAAGAGAGAAGATTATTTCGGAATTACAAATCTTGTTGAACATCCAGCCCAACTGAACCCTCCAGGTAAGACACTAGAGAAGTACTGTCTGATGAACTTCTGTGCTAGTGGGAATGTTCTGTGTTCTTGGTGTTGCGGAAACAGCAGTCGCTATCCACGTGGGACTGTTGAACATTCCGGAATGTCTTACCGGTTCAGGGTTATGATTGAGGCACCAAACTTTCACGTTCATGTGCATTAAAGGGCACAGAGAGCTGCCAGCTTCAGCTTTGGTGCAGTGTTCGAGCACTGGGGAGAGAAAAGGTTCGAGTGAGGAAAGAGAATCAGATCTGAAGAGCTCCACCGTAGGCCTCTGGCCATCTCCCCAGCACCTTTGGATCTGCAAACACCTCTTTTGGCAGTAGTTTAGATTCAGTGGCGCTCAAGGCTTCTCCCAGTGGAATTGGGGACCCGTAGAGTGCCAGGTAACAAGCCTGGGTCTCTTCATGCAAAGCGTACACTCCAGCACTCGTTTAAATTAGTATGTGTGTTTGTATATGGTGCCTTTGGGTCAAACCGAGTTCTTTGCATGTGTGAGGTAGAGCTTCTGATATTGAGCTGCATCCCACAAGTTCATCCTTGTCTGTGGTTGCCACTCAGCTCCTGTCTTATAGACCACCCCAAAGTTCCTGTCCTCTTATCATCTTTTCCTTTAGACTTTCTCTTCAGAGACTTTTTTTTCTTTCTTTTTTTTTGGGTTATACTCAGCGATGCACAGGGTTTAATTCTGGCTTTGCACTCAGGAATTACTCCTGGAGGTGTTCAGGGGACCCTGTGGGATGCTGGGAATCTAACCTGGGTCAGCCACATGCAAGGCAAACACCCTCCCCGCTGTGCTGTTGCTCCGGCCCCTCTCTTCAAAGTCTTACTGGCTTGGTTCCAAGAAATGGCACAGTGGGCTGAGGACATACTTCGTGTGCCGGAGACCTGGCTTTTGATTCCCACACCCTAAACGTGGAGCCAGGAATAGCCCCAAACCAATGTTAGGTGTGGCCCCCAAAACAAAAGTGAAGAAAAACAGTATGACTCAGTCTAAAGAGAAGGATTTTCCTTGAGACTCTTACTTTCTTTCGGGGGGGTGGGGGGCCACAGCTGGCAATGTTCAGGGGAAACTCCTGGCTCTGCACTCAGGAATTACTCCTAGTGGTGCTCAGAAGCTCTCTGACCCCAAGGCTTTTTTTTTTTTTTAACTAGCAGTTTCCCTTGGGTACATCTCTGAAACTAAACCTCATGTGTAGAGATGACACTTGTCACTGATAGGCCTACTTAAAAATAGGTTCTAACACTTGGATCAGGTTTGAGATGAAGAGAGAAAAATATATTTCGGTAACTTTGCTTTATGCTCTCCAGTAAATTCAGAAAAATAGATTTAGAGGGCCAGAATGATAGGACGAGGGGGCTGGCCTTGCACTCAGTCCACCCAGGTTCGATCCCTGTCACTCTACATGGTCTCCTGAGCACCGTCAGGAGTAAGCCCTGAGCACCACCAGGTGTAGCCCAGCCCCCCCCCACCAAAAAATAATAATAATAGGATGTGGCCAGAGGGTCCAGTGGGTAAGTCACTTGCCTTCACGCAACCAACCCTGGTTCTATCCGTGGCTTTCCATATGGCCTCCAAGCGCTGCTGAGAAAGATACTTAAGAAAAGTAAAAGGAAAGGGCTGTTGCATTGAACACAGCCAACCTGGGTTTGATCCCTGGCACCCTGTATGGTCCCCCAGGCCCCCAGGAGTGATCCCTTAGTGCAGAGCCAGGAATAAGCCCTGAGCATCTCTGAGTGTGACCCAAAACGGAAAAAATGGTGAGCAGCAGTAGGGCATAAACGTTGCTCTGTCCAGCATATCAGGCCCTGGGTTCAACACCTGGCACCTCAGAAAACCATGAAATAACCCTGTTTTGGGCAGGGCTCGAGAGAGAGTAGCTCTGGATTTGTTTCTGTCTCACCATGCTTCAGTTGACTGAAAGGTTCAGCTGCTTAAAGAAGCAGGGCTCTGTAAGATAAGAGTGCTATTTTAGGGCATAAGCACATGCTCTGCATGTAAGTTTAATCCCTAACACATCGTGGTCTGCCAAGCATCCCCAGGAATGACCCCAGTTCTGCCTGGTGTGAACGCCCCTCCCCCCCAAAAGCTTTTGTAAAAATCCGTGAGTCCTGCTTAAAAAGCCCCTTCACTTGGGGCCGGAGCGATTGTAGAGTGGGGGTAAGGCGTTTGCTTTGTATGCGGTTGACCTGGGTTCGATCCCCAGCATCCATATGGTCCCCTGAGCGTCTCCGGGCGTAATTCCTTAGTGCAGAGCCAGGAGTAACTCCCGAGTACAGCCTGGTGTGACCCCCTCAAAAAAGAAAGAAAGCAAAATTAAAGACAAAAAACATATAGGGGCCAGAGTGATAGTATATGGCAAAAAGTAGTATCAGGGCTGGAGAGAGTCCAGCGGGTAGGGCAGTTGCCTTGCGTGTAGCTGGACCAGATTCGATCCCCGCATCCCATATGGCCTCCCCCCAGCACTGCCGGGAGTGATTCTTGAGTGCGGAGCCAGAAGTAACCCTGAGCATCACCAGGTGTGACCCCAAAGCCAAAAAACAAAGACCCTTTACGCGATCCAGGAGCTTCCCTGACTCTTTTATTTATTTATTTGTTTGCTTTGGGTCACACCAATATTACTCTTGGTTCTGTGCTCAGGGGTCATTCTTGGTGGTACTTGGGGGACCATATGGGGCGCGAGGGATCAAATCCGGGTCAGCTACGTTCGCCTTATATATAGCCGACCTGGGTGCTGTACTCTGTCCACATTCCCTATTTTCCGCTTCCTTTTACGTTTCGTAAATAAAATGTTTTCTAAATCAGGCAACGTACGAATGAAAGAATATCACCTCTAGTCTAAAAATAAAACAGCTAAAGATTTTTTGTTTTGGGACCTCACCCACCAATGTTCCAAGCTTCCTCCTGGATCTGCATTCAGGGATCACTCCTGGCGTCCTCAGGGGACCATATGGGATTCCAGGAGCAAACCCGGGTCATTTGTGTGCAAGGCAAAGTCATACCTGCGGTGCTGTCGCTCCAGCCCCCAAACCGGATAGTCTTTCAAATGTGATTGATAGTCACCCAAGTTATTTAATAAGATTGTCAGAATTGCCATTATTGAAATAATGCTTTGATGCGTTCCTTTCTCTCCTTGGCAAGTCGACAGTGACACGCCAGTTACTCTGGGCGTCTATCTTACCAAGAAGGAACAAAAGAAACTTCGGAGACAAACAAGGAGGGAAGCGCAGAAGGAGCTACAAGAAAAAGTCCGGCTGGGCCTCATGCCCCCTCCAGAGCCCAAAGGTGCGTATATGTTGGGGCCAGGCAGGCAGTCCTGGGCACTCGGCGATGTCGTGGCTGCTTCAGTCCTAGGAAACTGCAGCATCTCTAGTTGGGGGTTCTTTCTGTTTCTCCGAGTCATTCTTGGGTGTTTGTGGATTTTGCTTTTCTTCCCTATGTTTTAGATTGATACTCCTTTTTGGTGGGGTTGGGGAGGTGCGGTGAGGACACACCTGATAGTGCCCAGGGCTTACTCCTGGATCTGTGCTCTGGGATCACTCCTGGTAGGGCTTAAGGGACCGGATGTGGTGGCAGGGATCAAACTCCAGTCAGATACATGCAAGACAAGCACTGTACCTGCTGTGCTGTATCACTCCAGCCCTTGATGTCCTTATTAAGTCATTTAAAGCTTTGTGGGACAGGGACTGAGGAGTGCGCTAAAGTTGCTTCCTCTGCGTGCAACTCCGACATCATCACGACCATCCTATTGTTCCTTGATTGCCTCGAGCAGGCCCCAGTAACGTCTCCTTCGTCCTACCCCTGAGATTTTTTAAAAAGTGCCATATTCAAGGCCCTTTCAGGGTCAGGAGAATGAGACCCTTCATTGTTACTGGTATTTGGCATATTGGGGACGCCACGGGGAGTTTGCCAGACTCTGCCGTTTGGGCAGGTTGCATTCGGTCGCCTGCCAGTTTGTCCAAAGTAGGAATGAGATGATAAGATGTCGCGCAGCTCACCCCAGTTTAATCGCAGCTCCGTGGATGGACTCCTGAGTCCCACCAGGAGTGATCCCTGAGCACAGAGCCGGGACTAAGCCCTGAGCACGCTGGGTGCCCCAAAACAAAACAAACTAAAAGAGAGGGAAGCTATTGTGGGATTTGCAGTGAGGGCTTAGCAGCAGCAGAACAGCTGTCATCTCTGGTAGCACGTGGTCTGCCGCATAGTGCCAGGTGTGGCCCAAAAAACAGGCTTAAGGATTGGGATGCTTGAGTCCACCCATGAGATGTTTGGGGACCACGTGTTGCCAAAGATCAAATCTGGGTCTCCTGTATTTAAAACATGTAATTTAGCTCATTAAATATCTCTGGCCCTTAAAACTTACTTTCAGTTATTACTAACCACGTAACACTGATGTTCCTGAAAGACTGGTGGTCTTGAAATACATAAAGGTAGCAGTTAATTATGTATGTAATTCTTAGCATTCAAAAAGTAAAACTGCCACTTGATATTATTTTGAATCAGCACTGTTATGTAAAGGAACTTTAAAGGCTATGTTATAATCAGTTGAAAACTACAAAAAAAATGAAGTTCTGTTCATTTGTTTTTTTTTTTAAGCAATGTAAGTGTGTACTGTTTAAATTGTGGTCTTATTTTCTTTTGGTTTTGGTTTTTGGGTCATACCAGTGGTTCTCAGGGGTTTCTCCTGGCTCTGTGCTTGGGGATCACTCCTGGTGGTGCTTGGGGGACCATCGGGGATGCCAGGGATGGGACTCAGGTCAGGCATAAGCAAGGCAAAATACCTTACCCCCGCTGTGCTGTCTCTAGCCCCTAAATTGTGTAATTTTCTACAAAAATGCTGAAAGTTGATTGGGTTGGCTTTATTTGTTTGTTTCTTTTTGGGGCACACCTGGCAATGCACAGGGGTTATTCCTGGCTCTGCGCTCAGGAATTACTCCTGGCACTGCTCTGGGGACCCTATGGGATGCTGGGAATCGAACTCGGGTCAGCCGCGTGCAAGGCAAACGACCTCCCCGCTGTGCTATTGCTCCAGCCCCTGGTTTGGGTTTTTGAGGTATGAGTTCTTCCATGGAGGAAGTCAGGTTTTAAACAGAGTTTTGCAATAGGTCAGCAATACAAGTTGGTCATAAAAGTGAGTGGTGTGCCAGGGGGAACGATGACTAAGACCAGTTTCCATTCTCTTCATTGCAGTGAGAATTTCGAATCTGATGAGAGTGTTAGGAACAGAAGCTGTTCAAGACCCCACGAAGGTAGAAGCCCATGTCAGAGCACAGATGGCGAAAAGGCAGAAGTAAGTGCTGTGGGGCGGGACGGGTGGAGCCAAGGGCAGGAACCTTCCCGACTCTGGAGGGGGCCCCGTCGTCGGCGGGAGGGGAGAGTCCTCTGTTGCTCTGTCTCTCCCTCAGCCCTGCCTCTGAGCTTCAATGCCTTTCTCACTTGTGGATGTCCTTCCTGTCACGACAGAGCGCACGAAGAGGCTAACGCTGCCCGGAAGCTCACAGCGGAACAGAGAAAGGTCAAGAAAATTAAAAAGCTTAAAGAAGACATTTCACAGGGGGTGCACATATCTGTGTATAGGTAGGTGTCCGCCCTGGGCTGGCCTGTTCCAAGTGCTGAGACGGACGCTGCAGTCTTTCCAGAAGCACACCTGGTGCTGCCCTGCTCCCTGGCGACAAGCCTTGGAGGAACCAGAAGCTACTGAATCTTGCTGCAGCGCTGTGGATTGCAGACCCACTCAGGGCCGGGGGGAGAGCTCGAGGGACTCAGCGCATTCTTTGCAGCAGGGGCCCCAGATTCGGTGGCCAGCGCCACACACGTCCCCCGGACACACATGGTTCGGAGTGAACCCCCTCCAAAACCAAAGATTTTCTTTGGGCGCTGAGGGTCAGACCCAAGGTCTCATACGTTTGAAGTGTACATGCGATCACGGAGTCGTAGCATTTGCCCCGAAATTTATTCTACTGATGCTAAAGGGGGTGAAGGAAGAATTAGCTGTCCAAGGTGCTGATGAGACTCCAGTCCTTTGTGAAGAGTCAAATAGCCTCTGCTAATCTAGGGAAGCATTCAAGGTTTTTAGGCGCAGTAATTAATATTCTGATGTATTGGCAGTAATCCTTTAATACCACTCCAAAATGAACTTTGTGTGGTGTGACTATTTTTCACCTTTCTGTTAATTTATCTTCATCCTACTCTTTTACATGAAGTGCATATATATCTTCTGTTTTTAAAATTCACTCATAATCAGTAATTCTTTAAAAAAGTTTAACATAGTAATAATCATAAAATTAGTGCTGTTTTGTTTTGTTTGGGGGCTGCACCAGGCAGTGCTCAGGGATCAAGCCTGGATTGGCCTTGTGCAAGGCAAACCCTCTACAGCCATGCTATCATTGGGATCCCTAAATTTTTTAAATTTGTTGTTGTTGTTGAATACTGTTTACCCTTTTTTTTTTTTTTTTTTTGCTTTTTTGGTTGTACCCAGCGATGCATAGGGGTAACTCCTGGCTCTGTACTCAGGAATCACTCCTGGCGGTGCTGGGGGACCACATGGGATGCTGGGAATCGAGGCCGGGTCGGCCGCATGCAAGGCAAATGCCCTACCTGCTGTGCATCACTCCAGCCCCTGTTGTTTAATTCTAACAATGCAGAAAGGCACTTACCCAAAAAGTCTCTTTTCTGTTTTTTCTTTTTTTTTTTTTTTTTTTTTTTTTGGTCACACCCGGCGATGCACAGGGGTTACTCCTGGCTCTGCACTCAGGAGTTACTCCTGGCGGTGCTCAGGGGACCATATGGAATGCTGGGAATCGAACCCGGGTCGGCCGCGTGCAAGGCAGATGCCCTACCCGCTGTGCTATTGCTCCAGCCCCTCTTTTCTGTTCTTGATGTATGAGGACCACTTGTTCAAAACAGGTTGTTGCTGCTTACAGTCCTTCTCGTGTCCTTCTGATATCCTAAATATATAACATGACTGCATTATTAGCAACTCAAGTCAAAGAGTTGTTTGGTATTTATGTTGTCAAGAACAACTAGCTTATCGATGTTTCTGAGCGACTTTACCTCTTTCATTGTTAGCGTATCCTTTCACATGGTCCTTGTAGTACTAAGGTATGTGGTGCTTGACTTTGGGGAAGCATTAGGTGCTGGAAATACTTGTGGACTCATCAGCCCTCCCTTTTAAACATTAGTCTGTTTACTTCCATCAGCGGCCTTTGTTTTTAGAGAGAAAATCACTTTGGATCCTAAACTTTCCCTTCTCCAGAGTTCGAAATTTGAGCAACCCAGCCAAGAAGTTCAAGATTGAGGCCAATGCTGGGCAGCTGTACCTGACGGGGGTAGTGGTACTGCACAAGGATGTCAACGTGGTGGTAGTGGAAGGGGGTGAGTCTGGAAAACGGGCGACTGTCCCCAGGCGGCGCTGGGCCTTGATGTGAAAGAGCAGCGTGGCGGGGAGAGGAGCAAGATTCGATGTCGAGCCACACGGGCATAGTAGCTGGGGCTCTTTTTCTGTCGGTGTTGGGGTCGAAGAACCGAAGATGTGGTTCCTGGGGTGGGTTGCTTCGGTAGCCCCAGTAGTGCCTGAACATTCATGAGCTCAGAGGATCTTCCTCAGCACTGGCAAAATTCTCCTCCTCTGTTTCTAGGCCCCAAAGCCCAGAAGAAATTTAAGCGTCTTATGCTGCATCGGATAAAGTGGGATGAACAGACCTCGAACACCAAGGGAGACGGTGAATGGGGCGAGAGGGAGTATGGGGCGGGGGGGGGGGGCGCGGCTCTGCCGCTCTTCTCTCAGGCACTCTTGCCGGCCAATTCGAGGTAATGCTTAGGGATTTAGAAAGATGCATCCGGACTACGAGCATGCTGGTCGTTTGTGTAGAAATCATTGTAGTCCACGTCCTGGACAGTAGTTACTCTGCTTAAGGCCTTTCAGCTGGTTCCGTGTCTGCCCGAGAACCAGAGACTGGATAAATGAGTGTGGTCAATTTGGACATTCAGTCAGCAAGCGATGCACTTCATGTGCGCATTGATTTGTTTTAAAAGTTCCCGAGGTGAGAAATTCTACTTTGGGGCCGGGTACAGTATGGCTCAGCCCAGAAGTTTTTCAACACTCCAGGAAAAACTGCAAGTAACCAACTCTGGGGTCGGAGGGACGGTACAACAGGGTGGCCAACCTGGGTTCAGTCCCAGGTACCACATATGGTCGTCTGAGCACAGAGCCAGGAGTAATCCTGAGCAGTGTTAGGTGTTTCCGCCCCCGTCCCCCTTGGAAAACAGGAAGAAAAAACCAGTAGCTCTTGATTTGTTTAAAAAATGCGGTTTTTTAAGAATTATTTTACCCAGCTTTACCCAGCAGTGCTCATGGCTTACTCCTGACTGCTCAGGAATCACGCCTGGTGCTCGGGGGACTATGTGCAGTATCAGGACTGAACTAGGGTTGGCTGCCTGTGTGCAAAGCAAGAGCCTTAACCCCCTGCGCTATTTTATTAACCCCTACCCAGCTCTGTCGTATGTTATCTCTGCATATTTTTCAAGTTTTCCTGGCTGTGATTTTTCCACCAATATTTATTCGTTCCTCCTTTGAAGGACCTGAATTGCTAGTGAACGTCTGCAGTATCTTTGTGATTTTTTTTTTTTTCCTGATTTTGGCTCCTTCCTACTTTTTGTCCTTAAATTAAGCGCTTTTTCTTCCCCTCCAGTCCACTCTTGGCAGTGCTTAGGAGCAACCAGGGCTGTTCCTGTGGTGCTGAGGTTGGGGAGGGTGGTGGTGTTGATAAATTTCCAGGGCTCGAACCTTCGAACCTACGGGCCTGCGATTCCACACATCCAGAGCACGTGCCCTACCACTTGAGCCTTGCCCCCGACCCCCAAGTACTTTTTGTATCTTCAAGCCACATTTTTTAATGATTGACCAGTACGGTTTGGAGGCTGCTCCCGATGGTGCTTAGTGCTCAGGGATCACTCCTGCCGTGCTCAGGGGACTATTTAGGATGCTGGCTATTGAACTCGGTCGGCCCATGCAAAGCCAGCACTCTCCTCGCTGTGCTGCACCAGTTTTGCAAGTTTTTCTAAGGTATCTTCATTTCCTCTGTTTCCCACACCCATCTATGACACTAGAGAGGTTCCTTGCTTTGACATCAAGAGACTTCCTCTCTAAGAAACGAGAGCAAAGTTTTACTAGAGTTTTTTTCATTTAGTTCCTTGTTCTGTCTGGCACTATATGGTATATATGAGGTGCTAAAGGAATGTTTGGAATTATTTTCAGCCTTAGTCTAGTTCGGAAAAAGAGGAGAAACAGATGCTATTGATCCCAGCACATGGGAAAGGGCGGCACATGGGAAAGGGCGGCACTATCTTAAGGATTTGGGTAGCCTTGGCTAGTGTTCACGCCTGAATTCTGTAGTCTAAGTCTAGAGAAAGATTTAGCTGTGTTTTTTTCTCCAGATGATGAAGAATCTGATGAGGAAGCTGTGAAGAAAACCAACAAATGTGTGCTTGTCTGGGAGGTAAGTGATCTTTTTTAATTGTATTTTTTTTTTTTTGTTTGGGGGCCATACCCCGCAATGCTCAGGGGTTGCTCCCGGCTCTGCACTCAGGAACTATTCCTGGCGGTGCTCAGAGGACCATGTGGGATGCCCGGGATTGAGCCCGGGTGAGCCGTGTGCAGAACAAATATCCTACCCGCTGTACTATATATCCAGTCCCTGGGAGGTAAGTGTTCTTGGGGGAGAAAACTGTCTCTTCTAGGTCTTGGTGGTGGTTTGGTTTGGGGACCACACCAGATGTGCTGTGGGACTGGGGCTGGAGAGATGGTACAGCTGGTAGGCACTTGCCTTGCACACAGCTGACCTGGGTTCAATCCCCAGCACTCCATATGAGCTCCCCGAGCCCGACCAGGAGTAATTCCAGAGTGAGCCCTGAGCACCAGTGGCTGTGGGCCCCAATTCCCTGCAAAAAAAAAAGAGCCGTGTGTCCGTTGGTAATGGAGTGTCCGGAGACCATGTGCCACCCAGGGATCAAAGCCGCACCTGATAGCAGGTTTTGTCTGTTTGCTTTGGGGACATCCCAGCAGGGCTCAGAATTACTCCTAACTCCGTTCTCAGGTATTACTCAGGGTGGCGCGGGGAACCATATGCAATGCCGGGGATTGAACCTGGGTCAGTTATGTGCAAGGCAAATGCGCTATCCGCTGTACTATCTCTCCAGCCCAGTTTTTAATCTTTTTTACACCTTCAGACCAGCATCAATTGAAAACCACTGGTTTATAGTATTCAAATGCAACAATGGAATGGTAAAACTATGATGAATTCCGTAAGTAGTTTGTATTTTCTTCTTGGAATTGTTAACTGTTTGCCAGCTGAGTCTTCTGATTACATTTTTTAGTTACGTCAAAAACATACGTAATTCTGCCATCTGGGAAGAGTATGGAAAGCTGGTCCTAAGAATACAGATTCTCAGATGAATTTGAGAATCATGAATGTGAGACTTGCAAAGAGGGAAATGAATAGTGAGATTTTGGAGGGAGCATAGTGAAAGATACACCAGATTTGGAAGTAATGTTCGGGGGCCAGAGAGAGAACAGGAGGTAGCATTTGGCTGACTCTGGCTCAGTCTCCGAAGCCCACTTTTGGTCCTCTGAGACCTTCCAGGGGTGATCCCTGAGCATGGAGCCAGGAGTAGACCTGAGCACCCTCAGGTGTGATGCCAAAATCGAAATAAAACATGGGCTTCATTTTCCCATCACAGTGTCAGTTTTTTAGGCTTTAGATTATTACATTAATAGTGGTTTGCTAAATGTGATGAAATCATTGATTAAGTAGGAACATTTTGGAGAGGAGATTGCATGGCATCTGGGGGTGCTCAGGACCTACCTGTGACTGTGCTCTGGGTCATTCTCAGAGTTCCAGGCGGGACCGTAGAAGGTGCTGAAATCGAAGAGATTGAACCTTAGTTGGCTGTTTGCTGCTTGTCTGGGAAAGAGAATGCAGCTGAACCTCTTGCCCTTCTCTCTGGCCTTTACGTAGGACCTTTTTGTTTGGAAAGTAAAAGTTGTGGGGCTGGAGCAATAGTGCAGAGGGTAGGGTGTTTGCCTTGCACACGGCAGACTCGGGCTCAATCCCTGGCACCACATAATGTCATCAGACCCCATCAGGAGTGATCCTGAATACAGAGCCAGGAGTTAGCCCTGAGCATTGCCGGCCGTTCCCCAAAAACAAAACCAAAAAAAAAGTTAAAGGGTTATTGTTGGTATTTTCTGTTTGTTTGGTGGGGGTGTTGGGGGGGTGGATTTGGGTCACACCCAGCAATACTCAGGGATCACTCCTGGCTCTGTATTCAGGAATCACTCTGGCACAGTCTGATGGCTGTATGGGGAACCAGATGGACTCTAGGCAAAGGCCAGTGTGTTCAAACCTATACTATCTCTCCAGACTAATAGTCTTATAAATAAATTTTTATTGAGGTACATTGGTTTATAATCTGTAAATTTCAGGTATACAGCGGTGTAATTCAACATAGTTTTATGCACTGCTGCAGACTTCACTACCAAAAGTCTAATTTTTTATCCTCCACCAAATAATTGGGCCTCTCTATGTGTCTCACCTGCATTGGTGGTCCACTCTGTCATTCTCGGCCCAGCACATTCCTCTGAAGTATCTCTGAGAGCGAACCCCAACCACCCAGAACTTAGAAGCATTGTCAGGTACGGCCCGACTCTCCTCCCCAACGCCCCACAGGCTAGTCTCGGCTCTACACTGGATCCCTAGGGTAGATCTCCAGCCCACATCACTCTCTTCAAGCCTGGGTAGAGCTGCCAAGCACCAGGTATGGGTTCCCAAAAATACACCAAAAGGACACTATTACAAAGGAAATGAGGACTTTGCAATACCAATTCTTTGTTTAGCGTTGCATCTTCTGGGTAGGATGCTTACCTTGCCCTTTGCAACATGGGTTTAATCCTGGTGTCTCATATGGTCCCTCAGGCAATGCCAGGGGCAGTCCCTGAATACAGAGCCAGGAATAAGCCCTGAGCACCCCCAATGTGACCTTCTCCCCCAGATTGCACTTTTGAAATAGTTCCTTATTGCTTGGTCCTTTGAAACCACTCTTTGGGCCGTAGTGATAGGACAACAGGGAAGGCACTTGTCTTTGACACAGCTGCCCCAGGTTCAGTTCCCCTGAGCACAGGGTCGGGAATAAACCCTCTATTGCTGGGTTCTGGGCTCCGCCCCGACAAATACAAAGACCCTACAAAGACCCTTCTCTTCGTAATTGCTTCTTTTGCCCCAAACTCCTCCAATTTATGCCTGCAAAACACGTCATACTACTTCTTTGTCTCATAGGATCCCCGACATGCTTGCTGTTCCAGCCCTTCCACCGTACCTTTCATTTCTATGAGAGGCCTTAGGAATTAGTCTTGTATTAGGTTCCTACGCAAGCCAGGTTCTGCTGTAGCCTCCTCATTGGGATCTGGGGCTGGAGCGATAGCGCAGCGGGTAGGGCATTTGCCTAGCACGCCACTGACCGGGGTTCGATTCCCAGCATCCCATAGGGTCCCCCGAGCACCGCCAGGAGTAATTCCTGAGTGCAGAGCCAGGAGGAGTAACCCCAGTGCGTCGCCAGGTGTGACCCAAGAACAAAAACAAGAAAAGAATCTAGTTCTGTCCAGCCCCCTGGAGGAAATTAAGGCTTAATAGTGCCCAGGGGTCACTCCTTCTGGTGTTTGGGGGACCACTCTGGAGCCAGGGATCAAAGCCAGAACTCCTGCACGTAGGCACGGGCTCCGGCCCAGTGAGTGCTCTCAGGCGTCCTTTTAACTGCTCCTTAAAACTTCAGGCTGAAGTCTTTTTTTATTTTTGTTTTGTTTTGTTTTGTTTTGGGGTCACACCTGGCGATGCTTAGGGGTTACTCCTAGATCTGCACTCAGAAATTGTTCCTGGCGGTGCTTAGAGGACCATATTGGAGGCCAGGGATCGAACCTAGATCAGTCATCTGTAAACTCCCTCCTACCTGCTGGACTATGGCTGCGACCCCCCGACCCCCAGGTTTATTCTTCATTCCAAGCCTCAGAGCTTACATTTGCTTGTCTTCCAGCCAAAAAAAAAAAAAAAAGGAAACATTTGTGCATCTGCATTCAGTAAAATGCCAGAATACCCAAAGGGGCAAAGAAGGCTAGAATTGATTTTGTCATTGCACAAGGTTTACCTTTTTTTTTTTTTTTTTTTTTTAATGTTTATGGGACCACACTGGGCAGTGCTCAGGGCCGGCTTCTGGCTCTGTGCTCAGGGAACCTCCATATCTCATGCCAGGGATCAAACCAGGGTTGGCAGCGTTCAAGGCACTCGCCTTACCCATTGTACTATCACTACAGCCCTATTTTTGGGTCACACCCAGAGGTGTTCAGGGGTTAATACTGGCTCTGGGTCCATATGGGGTGCCGGGGATCGAACCCGGGTCTTGCAAGAACCTTTCCTGCTGTGTTAGTACTCTGGCCTGCTAGTCCTATTTGTGTGGTGGTTTTTGGATCCATGTTCAGTCCCCAGCATCACATACGGTCCTTTGAGCCCAGCCAGGAGTAAATTGATCATCACCGGATGTGACTCAGCAACCCAAAAAATCCTAGCATGGCTGGGCCAGGCAGGTGGCTCAGGGGGCTTGTGCATATCCTCTGCATGTGGGGGAGACCTGGACTGTTCTCACGCTCCATGGTCCCTCGGCACTGGTGGGAGTAAGCAGCTCCGGTCCTAGGAGCAGGCCCCCGCGTCACCGGGTAGCAAGAATACAGCTGCTGTAAATGAGAAAGGCCGGTGCTCCTGTTACATGGCTTGTCTCCTTCCCAGGGTACAGCCAAAGACCGGAGCTTTGGGGAGATGAAGTTCAAACAGTGCCCGACAGAGAACATGGCTCGGGAGCACTTCAAAAAGCACGGGGCAGAGCACTACTGGGACCTGGCTCTAAGCGAGTCCGTGCTGGAGTCCACCGACTGACGCTGCTGCGGCCCTGCCTTTCCGCCCCGTGACTCTCTCGTCTTCTTCCTCCTGCCCAGCCCCACTCCGTTGTGTCTGAGCTCAAAACTGTGCCGGCGGTCCTGGGACTCAAGGGGACGTCTGTCCTCCCCCGGTCAGCCTGGTGCTACCCTTTCCCCATATGTGCATATGATTAAAGAGTTATTTTTAAATGTGGCATGGTCATTCCCATATTCCGAGTGGTTGGAGCTGGGCCTTCAGGTGACCTCCATCACAGCAGTCCCTGTGGGGAAAATGCCATCAGAGTTTAGACATAAGCGGGTGTATGGCTGAGTGTTTTTGACACGTATGACCTCAGCTTGGAGCAGAGAGAAGCTTTTCTTGAAACAGAGGCCAAGGTAAGGGTCCGTCTCTCTTCACCTTCAGTAGACCCATGAGCTAGGCAGACGGCCTTTCCTCCGGAGTGAGGTTGGAAGAAATCAATAGCGGGCAGGGCACTTGGCCTTCGCACGTGGCCAGCCGTGTTCGATCCCTGGCAGTCCATACGGCACTGCTAGGAGTGATTCCTGAGCACTGTTTGATGTGGCCCAGTGCCCCTCACCCTCCCCGCCCCCCCCCCCCCCCAAAGAAATCAATCTCTCAAAACTGGTGTATACATGATAATGTACGATCTGCTGAAGTAGGCACAGAAAGTCCAAGAAGGTTATAGTGAAGTTCGTAAGTGAAAAAGGGTTTGGGAATTTAGCTCATTTTGCGTCTCCTTTTATAGCAATTTGTAGGGTTTTCCTCCGCTGAAGAATGGTGAGATTTTACCGCCAGGAGTAGTTCCTGAGTGTAAAGCCAGGAGTAACCCCTTGAGCATTGCTGGGTGTGACCCAAAAAGCAAAAAAAAAAAAAAAAAAAAAGATTTAAAAGGAAGATTTACTTCAAGAAGTCAAAAAAGAATGGTGAGATTTTAGTTTTAGCATTTACTGTTGCTAGCATTGGGTCAGAATAAGTATCCACTGGAATCCACAATTCCTAAATACTTGGACCCTTGATTTCATGTGCCCATTAAAACTCACTTCTGGCGATTTGGAGCTTGGCAGTGTTGTGGAGAATGGGCACTTCACCAAATGCTCCAATATTTTTGTTAAATGAAGCCACCTTTGGGGGCCAGAGAGTACAGAAGAGAAGGCACTATCCTTGCAGGCAGCTAACCCAAGTTCAATACCTGGCACCTCGTATGACCCCCGGAGGCCTGCCAGAAGTAACCCCTGAGCACAGCCAGGTGTAGTCACCCCAAACTAAAGTATCCTTCTGGGTGGTAGAGACAGTGCAGAAATGAAAGCATTTGTTTTGGATGTGGCTGTGACCTCAGCACCTCCAAGAGAGTTCCCCCCAAGAAATGTATGCCTGGGGCCAGAGCATAGTGAATAAGGCAGTTGCCTTGCATGCAGGTAGCCAAACAGGGTGTTCCCTGGATGCAGAGCCAGGAGTAACTCCTGAGCACCACTGGATGCGGCCTCAAGAATTTTAAAAGGGAGGGGCTGGAGCAATAATAGCACAGCGGGTAGGGCGTTTGCCTTGCACGCGGCCGACCTGGGTTTGATTCCCAGCATCCCATATGGTCCCCTGAGCACTGCCAGGAGTAATTCCTGAGTGCAGAGCCAGGAGTAACCCCTCTGCATCGCTGGGTGTGACCCAAAAAGAAAAAAAAAGATTTTTAAAAGGAAGGATAGTAACAGCAGGCAGAAGTTTTGTCTAGCATGCGGCCGAGTTCAATCCGTGGCACCCAGTGTGGTCCGCCAAATATATCTGAGTGCAGAGCCGAAATAAACCCTGAGCACTGCCAACTGTGGCCCAAAACAAAACCAAAAAGAAATACTTGCCTTTTTGACCTACAGTAAAACAGAAGCTTGGGTACCTGGCCTTGCACGCATCCAGTCGTGAGTTCAAATCCCTGGTTTCACATGCACTGTGTGAGACTGTCCACTCTTGTCTCATTCCTGGCACCAGAGATGATTTCTGGCTGTACCAGAAGGAGTGTGACCTCAAGGGGCACCCCAATAAAGACAGGCAGAATGGTGAGCACTGCACGCAGCTGTGTCCCTCAGAGTCTCTGGGCAGTGCCACACCCATCATTTGTGTGCTTCTACAATCGTGGGAATCTGGCAAACAAAGCTCTGGACACTGCAAGCACCACAGATGGGGGTGCCGCTTATCACTGCAATACCAACAAGGTGTTGGTGGTTGTAATAGTTTTTTGGTTTCAGGACCACAGTGATGCTGAGGGGTTAGGCCTGGCTCTGCACTCAGGAATTACTCCTGGTAGGCTCATGGAACCCTATGGGGTACCAGGGATTGAACCCAAGTTGGCCACATGTAAGACAGGCACCCTACCCACTGTACTATCACCGCAGCCTCTAATTGTAATTCTTCCCTTTGTTCAGTGATCTGGAAATCACTTTTTTTTCCTTTTTCCTTTTTGCATCACACGCAGCAATGCACAGGGGTCACTCCTGGCTCATGCACTCAGGAATTACTCCAAGCAGTGCTCAGGGGACCATATGGGATGCTGGGAATCGAACCCGGGTCAGCTGTGCACAAGGCAAACGCCCTACCCACTGTACTATTGTTCCAGTCCCCACAAACACTTTTGGTTTGTTTGGGGCCATACCTGGCAGTGCTCAGGGCTTACTTGGCTTACTCCTGGCTCTGTGCTCGGGTGGGTCTGCGGGTGACCACATATGCAAGCAAGCACCCTCCCTACTGTACTATGACTCAGGCCTGGATCGCACATTGAGTTGTGGTTCCTGCATTCTCACTTGCCAAGTGTCAGCTGATGTCCAAGTTTTGCTCTTGTACACCATGGTCCCACCCACTTCGGAACCACACTCTTCAGGTGCAGTGCTCACACACCTGGCTGTGTGCCAGTGGCCTTGTGCTCTTGAAGGGGGCAGGTGGGGGCGTGTGAGGGTGCGGGGGAGGGGTTTGTTCCAGACAGCAGAGCTTTGGGAACCGTTCTTGGCATTTGTAGGTGACCCTAGGGCTGGAGCGATAGCACAGCGGGTAGGGCGTTCGCCTTACACGCGGCCAACATGGCCGACCCGAGTTCGATTCCTCCGCCCCTCTCGGAGAGCCCGGCAAGCTACCAAGAGTATTCGATGTGCCAGACACAGTAACAACAAAGTCTCCAATGGAGACGTTACTGGGCCCGCTCGAGCAAATCGACGATCAACGGGAGGGCCTTTACCTTTGCCTTTACCTAGAGATCGAACTCACAGCTTTAAGCCAGCAAGGTGGGTTTGTAAGTATGTCTGTAAGGGGCCAGAGCAATAGGACAGAAGTGGGGCTCTGGCCTTGCACGTGGCCGGCCTGGGTTCTATCCCGGCACCACATATGGTTTCCTGAGACGACCAGGAGTGATCTCGGAGCACAGGAGTAACCCCTGAGAACCACTAGGTGTGGCCAAAAAATGACAAAAAAGTGTGTTTGAGGTCCTAAGTTAGAGTTAAGGTAACATTTAGGAACACGAAGAGTTGGAAAGAGGTAAGATGCAAAGGACCTTAAGAAAAAACCAGTACAACCTCTCACTTTATTTCCGGGATGATCAAAGTCTAAGCAGATGTTGAGTTTACAGATTATTGGGATAGGATGAGCTCTGCAGTGAAGACACTGGCTGCTTCCTATCTCCACATGTCAGAACTGAACTAATGTTTTATACTTAGTGATTTTAGCAAATCCAGGGGAGATACTATTTTTATTTACTTATTTATTGGGGGGCAGTCACACCCGGCGATGCTCAGGGGTTACTCCTGCCTCTGCACTCAGGAATTACTCCTGGCGTTGCTCGAGGGACCATATGGGATGCTGGGGGTCGAACCCGGGTTGGCTGCATGCAAGGTAAATTCCCTACCCACTGTACTATAACTCCAGCCTGATACTTTTTTTAAGCACTTTTACTAATGGATTTGTTTGAAATATGTGTTATTTATATACCTTTAATGTACTGATTTCATATTATGTAAAAGAAAAAATATTTCTATTTGGGCTGGAGTGATAGCAGGGTTGGAGTGATAGCACAGTGAGTAGGGCTTGCACACGGCCTCCCTGGGTTCGAATCTTCCACCCCTCTCGGAGAGCCCGGCAAACTACCTTACCGAGAGTATCTCGCCCGCAGAGCAAAGCCTGGCAAGCTACCCGTGACGTATTTGATATGCCAAACACAATAACAAGTGTCACAATGGAGACATTACTGGGCCTGCTCGAGCAAATCGATGAACAACGGGAGAACAGTGACAGTGATATTACTGTTCATTAGAATAAACCCAAATGAGGGGCTGAACCAATAGCACAATGGGAAGGGCACTTGCCTTACACGCCGTCGACCCAAGTTTAATCCCCTGCATCCTATATGGTCCCTGAGCATTGCCAGGAGTAATCCCTGAGCACAAAGCCTGGAATAACCCTTGAGCATGTCACCAGGTGTGGCTGAAAACAAAAGAATGAATTCAAATGAGACGTGTCTTTCATCTTTGCCTTATGGTGTTTTATACCTATGCCAGCGGGGCAAGTGCATCAGCATTCTTCAGGCTTTCTGATACCTCCAAATTGCTGCTGTGGGTAGGGCATTTGCCTTGCATGCGGCTGACCCAGGTTTGAATCCCAGCATCCCATATGGTCTCCTGAGCACCGCCAGGAGTAATTCCTGAGTGCAAAGCCAGGAGTAACCCCTGAGCATAGCCAGGTGTGACCCAAAAAGCAAAAAACAAACAAACAAACAAAAACCAAATTGCCACTGTGTCTCTGGCCAGACCCCAACAACTCGGGTTTCCGAAAAAATCAAGTTTCCCAAGAAATTAAACGGCCAATAGTAAGGTGTGTGGGGGCCATAAAGCACCTCCCGCTCAGCTGTACAAGGTCATTTATTGGCCTTACTTCAGGGATCCATAAATTAATCTTGAAAGATCAAAAGCTGCAGTTAATCTTAGACCAAGGTTGAACAGACCATGGTAAATCAGAGGTGGGGCAGGTGAGTCTGGTACCCATTCAAGCAGAGTAACCAGCAGCCACTTGCTCCTATAATCCAAGATTACTGCCATGCTCCTGGCCTGACTCCACCGTTTTAGAATGGCCTCACTGAGATATTAACCTGTTGATAGTTTGGATGTGCAGATTTTTGACTGAAATCTCCAGGCTTTCTTGAAGATGGGAGGGGCTACCTACCCCCACTT